TAAAATTTATAAAATTGGATGATTTTTTATCTTTGATTTAATATATTTTTAAGTACTTATAATATAGCGTGGGTCATGAAACTGAATGATTTTGTTTTGAATTATTTGATATATTTTATCCGGTTCTCAGCATAATCAGATAAAAAACTAGTACTATACTATATAAACTAGGAACTTAAAAAAAAAAAATAGTAAGGATAATTGGAGGTGAGTCCTCACTGCAATGTCATTTCAGACTTCAAATGTGTCAAACAACTGAAGGACTACGCTGAATGGCAATTGAACTCCAGGACCCAAGCAGTTTCAGAAATTACAATCTCGTGATGATATGCACGTAGCTTCAATTTACTGTTGTCACTCTGCTCTTTCAGATGGATATGCATGTTGTTGAATCTTTGAGTGGATATGCACTCTCCAAATCCCATTATTGGAACGAGTACATTATTATACATTAGTCCCTTTAGTTTTGTAAAATGAATCAAACAGTTCCTTTAGTTTTAAAAATTAGAATTAAAGTCATTTTCATTCGTTTTATGTCATTTTTTATTTTATTTTTTTCAAAAATAAAAAAAATGAAAAAAGTAAATTGATATCATCGAAAAATTGATGAGAAAAAAAAAGATTATTTTTAAAATAAATTAATATTAAATTAAATTAGTCTACCTTCTCGGTGCGGTAGATATATATGGACTTCGTTAGCCTGGACACTATTAGCATTTACCACTGCTCATCTTACGAAGAGTGTTAAACGCCTGGAGTTGGATTATTTGTTTTAACTATGATCTCTCTGCATTTCCTTCTCTATTCTAGTTAGTGTCAATCGTGACATTGCCAAAAAAAGCCAAAAAAAAAAAGGAGGAAGGAAAAGCTTCTTGGCTTTGTAAATGTTTTTCAGCAGTGGGAACACCGAAAAGAATGTACAAATGATGCGATAGTCAATTTCCTTGAACGAAAAGTTGAGGCGACTTGAAAAAAAAAAAAAAAAAAAAAAAAAAAAGGCAAAAAATTACAAAAGTATCATACTGTGAATAGTGATTTAAGGCAAATGAACAGTAAAAACAGTAAAAAAGAACATAAAAAATAATAAATAACAAGTAATTGGAGTTATGTGTATAAATACATAATTAATTTATAACAAAACTAATGATATATATTTCAATTATTTTATTTAAAAATATTAATTTTAGAATATAAAAAAGAATAAATTACAAATAATTAGTGTTATGTATGCGGATACATAATTAATTTCTAACAAAACTAATTTATATTTATGTATGTATTTTTCATAGTTTTACTTTTTTTTTTATTCTTCCTCTATTTATTAAAACAAAAAATAGAATCATTGATCTAGCAAAAAGGAAAAAAATATATTTTTTGAATCAAAGGAACTAATGGTGTTATGTATGTATATACATAATTAATTTTCAATAACTCTCTCTCTCTCTCTCTCTCTCTCTCTCTCTCTCTCTCTCTCTCTCTCTCTATATATATATATATATATATATATATATATATATATATATATATATATATATTACTTAGTAGATTCAGAGTATATAGTATAAATAATTTTTTTTGATAAACAACCATCTAAGTTGTACGGAATATTTTAAAATCAATAATCTGAAATAAAAAATACTACAAAATTAGTTTTCATAAATTTTACTTTTTAATGTATGATAAAAGAGATTCTTAAATTATAAATTAAATAATAAATTAGTTTATCTCGTTTTGAAAAATGAATGAATTAATTTTTTTGTTAGTGTTGACCACGAATAATTTATTTTTTTATTTTTTAAAAGTCTCTGTTTATATTTTCCCTATATTTTTTAGTCTTTCTCTATTTTTTTAAAACAAAAAATAAAAACATTGAAATAGCAAAATGGACAAAAAAAATAGTTTTTGAACCGAAGGGACTAATGGTGTTATGTATGCAGATATATAATTAATTTTTAACAAAGCTAAAAAAAATCATATTTATCAACAAATAAAAGTTCATAAAAATTTTAATTTAATGAGAATTTTTATAATAAACAACAAATTTAAGAGATTAGTTTTAATCAATAAAAAAATATTATTTGATATATGTGTTTATTCTAAAATTTTAAAACATAAGAGGTCAAAAACATTTTTTAAAAATATGAGGAACAAAAAGCATATTTTGAAAAAAGAATGGGAGGTAAAAATAGACTAAATTAAAAACATGAGATTTAAAAATATTTTTTAAAAAAATATGAGGATTTAAAAATATATTTTGAAAACATAAAAGACAAAAAAAAAAACTATAAGGAAATCACGAAAATACCATTACAGAAAAGAAAATAAAAATTTACTAAAAGCCACATATATATATATATATATATATACGCGCGCGCGCGCACGCGCACACAACTTAAGGAAGACCACTTTATTACTTTTGGAAGTACACAACACCAACTGTCCAATGAAAAGTCTAACCCGAAGTCGTTGTTAACCGAGTTGATGTTGGAACGTGATAGGATGAAATGCTTGCTTTCTTTCTATAGATTTTTTTCTCATAGATTTAACATTAGATGATACCGATCAATATCAAAGGAAGTCCAAAATGAAGTAATAGAGGGCCTTGGATTAAATTTTTTCTTTAAAAAAAAAAAAATTTTACTGTTCAAATGAACAGTAAAAAGGTGAGTAATCTAGGAAACTCACTGTTCATCAAATGAATAATGAAAATCCCATATGTTTTAGTGTTTAGTACTAGCATATATCCCGTGCGTTGCTACGGGGTGAGCTATACAATATTTTTATGTACTTATTCATATAAAATTTAAAATTTAAAAATAATCATTTAAAAGGATTATGTGAAACTTTTTTTAAAAAACAAAAACTTATATCTCATATTTTGCTATAAGATTAGCTAAACGAAAACTCTACAAAGTTGAGTAATATAATGTTGCTAATTAGATATTGTTTGATAAAAACATGTATTTTATTAGAAATATGTATAATAACCGTATAATAACCGATAATTAAAATAATGACGTAGTAGTTTTTTAAATTTTAAATGATTAATTATTACCATTTATTCTTTATTTATAATTTATCAATGAGATTGACCAAAACAAAAAAAAAATCATAAAATAAGAACCAAAACCGAAAATGCTTTTTACTAAAAGCCAAAAAAAAACTTAAAATAATGAAATTGTATTTAATTTCAGTGTAGATAGAATAATAATCAAATATAATAAAAATTTAATGATCAAAATAAAAGAAAGATGAAAAAATAAAACCAAAACATAATGATAAGTTTTACTAAAAGTAAAAAATAGTTCCTTATAGGGTAAAAATCAAATATAGTAAAAATTTAATGATCAAAATAAAAAACAATTACAAAACAGGGACTAAAATAAAAATAAAATTTTACTAAATTCAATGGCTAAAACAAAGAAAAAAATCACAAAATAGGAATTATAATAGAAAGAAAAGTTTAATTAAATAATAAAAAAAAAGCTTAGGATAGTGAAACTTTATTTAGTTTTATTATAGTAAGGATAAAAATCAAACATGATAAAACTTTAGTGACTAAAATAAAAATATATAACAAAAAAAAGAACATAAATTTTTATTAAAAGCCTAGAAAAAAATATTTATTATAGGAAAAAAATCAAATATAATAAAATTTTAATATTTATTATAGGGACGAAAATCAAATATAATAAAATGGTAATGATCGAAATAAAAAAATATTACAAACCAGGGACTAAAATAAAAATAAAAGTCAAAAGAGGGGCTTAAAATGTAGCAAGGAAAAAAAAAACAAAACAAAACCTATGAACAGTTAATCTACAGTAACAATGTTATTGTATGTAATGATCAAAATAAAAAACAATTACAAAACAAGGATTAAAATAAAAATAAAATTTTATTAAATTCAATGGCTAAAACAAAGAAAAAAAATCACAAAATAGGAATTATAATAGAAAGAAAAGTTTAATTAAAGCAAAAAAAAAAAAAAAAAAAAGCTTAGGATAGTGAAACTTTATTTAGTTTTATTATAGCAAGGATAAAAATCAAATATGATAAAACTTTGATGACTAAAATAAAAATATATCATAAAATTGGAACGAAAAAAGAACATAAATTTTTATTAAAAGCCTAGAAAAAAATATTTATTATAGGAAAAAAATCAAATATAATAAAATTTTTATATTTGTTAATGGGACAAAAATCAAATATAATAAAATTTTAATGTTTATTATAGGGACGAAAATCAAATATAATAAAATGATAATGACCAAAATTAAAAAATATTACAAACCAGGGATTAAAATAAAAATAAAAGTAAAAAAAGGGGCTTAAAAAAAGCAGCAAGGAAAAAAAAAACAAAACAAAACCTGTGAACAGTTAATCTACAGTAACATGCTGCAGTACTTTTGCATTTTCGTTCAATATATCTTGTAAAATTTTAATATTTATCATAGGAATGAAAATCAAATATAATAAAATAGTAATTACTGAAATAAAAAAATATTACAAACTAGGGATTAAAATAAAAAAAAAAAAAAAAAGGGCTTAAAAAACGCAGCAAGGGGAAAAAAAAAAAACAAAACAAAACCTATTAACAGTTAATCTACAGCAACAGTACTACAGTACTTTTGCATATCTTGTAATAATAATAGAACGACCCAACTTCATCTTGAGAATGCTCTAAAATTTCAAAATTTTAATAGCAGCCAATCCTTCGAATAGAGATAAAAAAAAAATTGTTGGGTAGATTTTGCACATGCAATGTTCAGTGTCGTCGTACAGTAATTTTGAGAAAATCCCTAAAAAAATTTGTAAGAGACATTGTAACTGCTATGCCTCGGACGGCATGGTAAATGGTTCTTAAAACATACTTGACATAAAAAGGAAACTCTGCAGCTGAAATACAGGTAAAAGTCAACAAATCCAAGATAATTGAAGGCTTTTACAAAGCAAGAGGCCCTGTACATACAATAGAACACCAACTCAGTTACACACTTTCATTGAGATATTTTGAAGGCCAAACCAGATCCAACCAACTTTTCTTCTACAATCTTTCGGAAGTTTTCAGCCATTTGAGGACTGAGATAATTGCTCCAATGCCCCACTTCTTCGCTCCTGAAAAAGACACTATTTGGAACTCCATTCGGACGAACACCATTTTTGTTCACCTTCAAGTCCTTGAGGTTGTCAAAGCTACACAACCTTAATATTTCTTCTAGGACCCCCTCTTTCTCTTCATTTTCTGAGAAAGGAAATCCCAAGAACTCAGCCAGCTTCTTCAAGTTGGAAATCGTATCATCCTTCAAATCTTCATATCTCAAAAACAGCACCTTCTCTGGTCTTTCCAAGCTTTCTTTCCAATATCCTAATGAACTATCCCAAAATGGCCCATAATTCTGGACACCACGACAAATTTTCTCAAAATGTTCTTCAATTGAAGAAACAGGTTTAGCATTCTCTTGCCTGGACTTGCTAGCAAAAAGAAAATAAGAGATAGCCTGGTCTAGTGGATTCCTGCATATGAACACAATTTTACACTTAGAATCTATAATGGACAATGGCAAAGATGAATAATGGGTATGAGTACTGAAAATTCTTGGCAGAGGAAGTTGTTCGAGATTTGGGTGGTTGGTTTTGAAGTAAAGGTCATTTTCAAAGGAACGTACAAGTTCATGAGGTGAGGTAACGAGCAAGGGGCTCTCTTTAGCACTCTGGTGATTTCGGTTTATAACTGAGAAGGCAAGGGCTTTCAACCAAGGCATGCCCGATGCTGGCATGCTTGCTAATATAATATCGCTGTTCTGAGCTATGAAGTGTTGTTGAAAGGAAACTACTCCACTAATGGCATAAGCTGGATACCAAACCCCTCCATATAGATGGAGAGAACTACCATCCCAGTTTTTCTCACTGGGAAGTGTTAGCAACAACTCTTGGAGATCATTTGTAGGCTTAGTTTCTCCAGTTGAAGTATACAATCTACAGGGCTTGTTTCTCTTTCCATGACAACGAAGGCCAATACCAAGAAACCTTCCATTCCACAGATTTGTGTACTTATTGTTGTTTCTGGTCTTCCCTCGTGGCTCACTAATGCTGGTGCTGTAAGGAACAGCGCCCCTTGATAGAACTATGGTAGCACTGCCCATTTTGGTGGTAGTTCAGTGGAAGCAAGCGTGTAAATTGAAGACCTGCAGTCTGTATAGATCAATGCATCTACATCAGATCCATTTTTGTTAAAAAATATTGCACATCTGTCCTTTAATTATTTGCTAACATCATATGGACATGTAATATAAAATGAATGGATACTGATTAACAAGAAATTGTTTTTTATGACATCTAATAATAATATCTTCTGCTGCTTCAGTCTTAAAATATTTTCACGTTACAATTCTAAGCAAAAGCCGTAGTTAATATACTTATAAGAGTAGATGAATCATGATTAAAAAAATATTAATAATCTCTTTGTCATCTGCTATTTTCATGAAAGTCTAACTTAGTAAGTTAATTCGGACACAGATACTTGATGTACATTGCAAACCAACGCAAATCGAGGGTTTGATAGGACATGATAATAGTGTATTGAATTTAGTAATCAGTTGATGTTTTCTATTTGCTGCAAGTATTCTGAAATTTGAAATATTTACATTCTTCAAAAGAACAAATAGATCACACACAAGATATTCTGAAATTGGCAAGTAATCTAAAAGCTAACATCATCCATATAAGGCACAACAGTGAGAATTACCTGAACGAAAAACGAAGGCTGTAAAAAAGATGGCGTGGGAGAGTTTGTGTTACTCTTCAGCATCAACTATCGATAGCGATTAAAACACAATCCATTTACCTGTAATAAATCTGTGGCATTATTCAAAATAAAAAAATCCAAGTAGAACCCATAACTAACATGAAAAAAGAAGCAAGAAGTACTGTTTCTACTTGCTACAGTGAAATGCACAATCGTGTAGTTTATCATAAGGAATCTTTGCTTACGAGCTGCTTAATACAACAAAAACGGGGAACATGATGGAAAATATTGCAAACAAACTAAATTATAGTTTAAATAACTGGAAAATTATACTTCTTACAACGAAATTGATGAGGAAAAACAAAAACTACTCGAAATATATAAAAAAATTTAAAGCAGCTTAAAAGAACACATTAGAGTGAAATTCTAATACTTGACGACTAAATTTTATGAGAATTGAACAGTGTGGAATAACTTAGCCCTCACATTTTAGCTCCGTGATTATGGTGGCGAACTGAGCCGTAAACGGCGGAGGAGAGAGGTCCGTGAGTTGGAGATTGCTTCCTCAACGTTTTACAGGTGAAAGACAACCCAGTCAATTCGAGTTTTGAACTTTGAGGATGGCTCGTTTTTTAACATACGAATTTCGGCCCATGTTTTAGTTTCCTTTGGCCCATTATTTCCTTTTTAAAACTATTCAAGTGGCCCAAAATCTGAAGATATCAAGACGAGCCCCCCAAAAAGCCTTAGTGGGCTAACTTATCAAACCAAGGACTATACATCCTCTAAAGTTATTGTTTTTTTTTTTTTTTTGAAATTCACTTTCTGACTATAAATGGGACCGTACAGTGTTGTGAAGAACCATTTTCAAGAACAACTCGCAGTAAGTACTAGTTTTGTTTTTTTACGCATGTTACGCTGTCGATTGAATAAAATATATAAAATTATTTTTAAAAAAATTATTTAAATTTGATAGTCTCTAATATGGTATGAATCTATAAGAATATATGAAATCAAAGATTAAAAAAAAATTATTTATAATTTTTTAATCAAATTTTTGTATTTAACTATTTCTTATTTGTGTTTTCATGATTTTTCTGTAAGAAAAAAGATTTATTCTTGTTAATCTATGGATTATTAACTAAAATAAATAAATAAAAATTTTAAAAAAACTTTAGTATTTAATAAGATTGTGTCAAAAAACTAAAATAACAATTAATAAAAACTTACATAGAATTGAACAAATAAAACAATTGTTTTTTATTTTTATTTAATGTTAATGAGAATATCAACTTTTAAAAGAATATGAATTTAATTTTTATATATTTATGCACAAAAAATGAATAATATTAAAATAAAAAATCGTATTAATTTGAATCATTGAGTGGTTAAGCCAAATCATAATTTTAATTATTTAGTTTAAAATAAATTAATTTTAAAATATTCAAAAATAAATAAATAGTAAATTCTTAGTTTAGTAGTATTTGCATAGTTAATTTATAAAAAAAACAACGATTCAATATTTTTTTATACATCATAACTATACTAAGTGGGTTCAGAGTTTTTAACATAAAAAAAAAAACTATAGAAAAAGTTATATTGCAAGGAATATATTAACTAAATTTGAAATTAATACTCTAAAATAAAAATTATTATAAAATTAATTTTGATAAATTTTGACCATATAAAGAAAAAACAAATAAAACACATGAATTCTTCTTCTTCTTTTTCCTCCTTGAATAATTTTTTATTTTTATGCTATACATAGCTAGTTCTTGAATACGGGTCTCATGCGCAGAGCAACCATCTTTTTTTGTTTTTCATATTTGAATTTCAATTGTTAATTAAATAATTTGTGTTTTTTGAAATACACTTTTAATTTAAAAATGACAAACTAAAGTCGTAAATTTTAAATAATACAGGTAATTAATAAAAAATATTAAAACAAAATGGGACTAAATCACAATACAATTGAAGTTTGAAATTATATATATATATATTAAGAACCAAAGTATAAAAAAAAATTCCATAAATAATGAAAGAAATAGTGATTTGTGAGTATTTGAATAATGTTTTGTGAGTATGTGAATAGTATTATGAATAGTAAAAACCTATTTTGTTTTAGTGTTTTTTATTAAAATGTTTTCTTTTTCTCATTGATCTTTTTCATGTTTTTATCTATTTTTTTCTTTTCTATTTCTTAAAACAAAAAGAAAAAGAAAATGGTCCATCTAATTTCATAGGATAGCAGCTTGCCTTTTTTTCTTCCTTATTTCGTAGGAATGAGTAAATTGCTATTCTAGAGTAAATTATAACTTAGTCTCTCTTTCTTAGGAAAACAATTTAATTAGTCTATCTAATTTCAAAAACTAATGTTTTTTTCTCATCAATATTTTTCATATTTTTATCTAATTTTTCTTTTCTATTTAAAAAAAAAAGTAAAAAAAAATTGAAAAGTAGAAAAAAGGACAAAACATTAGTTTTGAAATCGGATGGACTAATTAATTTGTTTTACTAATAAAGAGGGACTAATTTATAATTTATTCTAGAAAGGTAATTTACTCATTCCTAGGAAACGATGAAGAAAAAAAGGCAATGATAGCATTAAATGCTCTGTAAAAAAAGAAAGTGAATTGACGAAAATGGCTAAAAAAGAAATAAATAAATAAATCAATTAAGGGTAGTCGTGGACTTTCACAAATCCACCGAGTGACAATAAACGTAATTAAGAATGAAAGAGACGACCATTTATAATGTAGAAGAAAAGAAAAACCGTGAAATGACGAAAAAGGGTTAAAGAAAAAAATAAAAATGAAAATCAATCAAGGGCAATTGTGGATTTTCATAAATCCACCGAGTGGTAGTAATAGTAATTAAAAGCAAAAAAGAGGCTGCTTAAAACCTCAGTCCACAGTGCCAATGGGTGAGAGTGAATAGTCTAAAAATAATAAACATCTCACGCCTTTTAGTTTCTTTTAATTTTCATATTTGCTCTGAATATAATATATGCGAACAATAGTATAATCTATTCATGCTACATTCAGCGCCAATGGAATTACTTATATATATATTAGTTTTTTTATCCGCGCTACACTCGTAGGTTAGATAAAATATATAAAATCGTTTAGAAAAATACATGAAATTAAAGGTGAAAAAATCATTTATAATTTTTTAATAAAAAAATTTGTATTTAACTATTTCTTATTTGTGTTTTTCATAATTTTTCCTTTAGAAAAAAGATTTATCTTTGTCAATCAATGGATTATTACTAAAAAGAAAATTAAATAATTTTTTTAAAAAAAGCTTTAGTATTTCATAAGATTGTGTCGAAAAACATAAATAAAACTATTAAAAGCTTATATAGAATTGAACAAATATTTTTTTTATTTAATGTTGATGAGAATATCGATTTTTGAAAAAATATAAATTTAATTTTTATATATTTATTTACAAAAGAATGAATAATATTAAAATAAAAAACTATATTAATTTGAATCATTGAGTGGTTAAACCAAAATATTATTTTAATTATTTAATTCAAAAATAAATAAATAAATAAATAAATAGTAAATGCTTAGTGTAGAAAAAATAATATTATTTTAATATGATCATAATATTAATAACATATAACTATATTAAAAAAATTAAATTAGTAAATTTTAAATAATTAAAATAATTAAAAGAAAACACTAAAACAAAATGGGATCAAATCATAATATAATTAAAGTTTAAAATTTTAATAACAATTATTAAAAGCTTACATAGAATTGAACAAATAATTTTTTTTATTTAATATTGATGAGAATATCGATTTTTGAAAGAAATATGAATTTAATTTTTATATATTTATTTACAAAATAATGAATAATATTTAAATAAAAAATTATATTAATTTGAATCATTGAGTGGTTAAGGCAAAACATTATTTTAATTATTTAATTCAAAAATAAATAAATAAACGAGTAAATGCTTAGTGTAGAAAAATGATATTATTATGATAGAATCATAATATTAATAAAACATGACTATATTGAAAAAGAAAAATTAAATTAGTAAATTTTAAATAATAAAAATAATTAAAGAAAACATTAAAATAAAATGGTACTAAATCACAATACAATTAAAGTTTGAAATTGAAAAACAAAATATGAAAAAGTTGAGGATCAAAGTGTTAAAAAACTAACATGAATAGTGATTTATGAGTATGTGAATAGTATTTTAAATAGTAAAACTATATTTTAATTTTGTTTTTTTAGTAAGAGTAATATTGAAACTTTAGAGAACCTTTGAGGGTGATATTGAAATTTTTAAATTAATAGGGGTAACAGTGTAACATTTTGGAAATTCTGAGGTCAAAGACATGGTTTACCCTTTACTTTATTACAACATCGGACAGTGCACGCTCTTTAAGTTAAGCGACAATTGAGGAACAACATTTCTCTTCAGACACAAACCAATCTCTCTCTCTCTCTCGCTTTGTTTACAAGCCCTAAGTAAGCATTCAACAGATTTTTAATCGTAAATGATTTAACTCTTTTCTTCATTTGTTGTATTTTATAGATTAACTTCAATATCTGTGTCCGAATAACTTCATTGATCTTCAATTTTTGTTTATTTTAACAACATGCAGACCTTGATTTTCCAATTTCTTGTTGCAGATCAAGCATGCTATGAATTGGGTTTCGTTTGGGTTTTAGGCAGTGGGGCTTATTTATGCTCGTTGATATTTTGTGGGTTGTCGTTGTTTTTTGTGGTAACTGGCAATGGAAGGAGGTGGGTCAGGTAACAATTCAACACCTACAATTGATAAAACAAGAGTTTTGGATGTGAAACCACTGCGTACTTTAGCACCAGTGTTTCCTTCAAGCTCCGAAGCACCTCCATTTGTATCTGCACCTCCTTTTGGGCCTTACCCATCTGGGTTTACACCATTTTATCCTTTTAGTGCACCACATGGTTCCCAAGCAGCAACACCTGACCTTAACCAACAGACACACACCACTCCTGCAGCTCCCCTTCGCTCTTTTCGAGCTTCGGAGTCTAATGGGGATGCTTTCAATGGAGAAGCTGGGTCCTTTTATAGTAGCAAGGGCTCCGCTAAGCGGACACCCAAGTCTTCTTCGCAGAAAAGACCAAGGAAGAGCCAAGATTTGGATTTTACTTTGGCTGTTGATGATAATAATTTCGTTGTAGGAGTTAGTTTGTCTGAAAGGGAAGATGGTAATAGGGAAGTGGTTCATAGTATACATATGAGGTTTGATGCACTTAGGAGAAGGCTTAGTCAATTAGAAGATGCTAAGGAATCGCCTGCTGGGATTATTAGGCGGGCGGATCTGAAAGCAGCAAATATTTTGATGACCAAACAGGTGCGGACAAATATGAGGAAGAGAATTGGAGCAGTTCCTGGAGTTGAGATAGGGGATATTTTCTTTTTCCGAATGGAGATGTGCTTGTTGGGACTGCATGCTCCATCCATGGCTGGGATTGACTACATGTTTGTAAGGAATGATTTAGAGGAAGAACCGCTGGCTGTAAGTATCGTTTCGTCTGGTTATTATGATGATGATGCGGAGGATAAGGATGTTTTGATATATAGTGGGCAGGGTGGGGCTGCCAACAAAGATAAAGGAGCAACTGATCAGAAGCTTGAGAGGGGTAACCTTGCATTAGAGAGGAGTTTGCGCCGGGGTAATGAAGTGAGAGTCATTCGGGGTATGAAAGACTCTGTTAATCAATTGGCAAAGGTCTATGTTTATGATGGCCTGTATACGATTCAGGAGTCGTGGGTGGAGAAGGCGAAATCTGGTTGCAATATATTCAAGTATAAGTTGGTTAGGATTCCAGGGCAGCCAGATGCTTTTGGTGTTTGGAAATCAATTGAAAAATGGAAGGAAGGGCTTTCCTCTAGGGCTGGACTAATTCTTCCAGACCTCACTTCAGGGGCTGAAAGCATGGCTGTTTCACTTGTAAATGATGTTGATGAAGAGAAGGGGCCTGCTTACTTCACATATGTCTCCACTGTCAAGTATTCTAAATCTTTTAAATTAACACAGCCTGCTTATGAGTGCAACTGTCGAAATGCATGCCAACCAGGCAATTTGAACTGCTCCTGCATTAGGAAAAATGAAGGTAACTTCCCATACACTGCTAATGGGGTTCTAGTCTGCCGGGCTCCAATGATACATGAATGTGGTCCCACATGTCCATGCTTTCCTAATTGCAAAAACCGGATGTCGCAGACTGGCTTAAAAGTTCATTTGGAAGTGTTCAAAACGAAGGACAGAGGTTGGGGCCTGCGGTCATGGGATCCTATTCGTGCTGGTACTTTTATCTGTGAATATGCTGGTGAAGTGATAGAAAAAGTTAGCCAGGGTGGAGAAGAAGGTGAAGGTGATGATTATGTGTTTGATACCTCCCGTGTGTATGAAGCTTTCAAGTGGAATTATGAACCTGGTTTAGTAGAGGAGGATGTTTCTATTGAAGCTATTGAGGAACCCAATGTCCCATCTCTCTTAGTCATAAGTTCAAAGAATGTTGGAAATGTAGCTCGATTCATGAACCACAGTTGTTATCCAAATGTCTTCTGGCAGCCAATTATGTATGAACACAACAGTGAATCTTTTATACATATTGCCTTTTTTGCAATGAGACACATTCCCCCTATGACAGAGTTGACTTACGATTATGGAAAATCTCGCTCGGCTGAGGCTGGAGCTGATGGTGGCAGCGCACCTCGTGGAAGAAGGAAATGTTTATGTGGAGCACCGAATTGCCGGGGCTACTTTGGTTGAAAGGTAATTTATCATGCTTGTGGATTTGTGGTGGCTGTAAGCATGGTCAAGGCTGAAAAGGTTTAAAGTCTTTCCTGTGTTTATTTTTACTTGGCTAGTTGTTTCTGATGCTCATAATTGTGCATGTTTTACTCACTTCCATCATGCTAAGAACATGATGTGTGTGGATTTATTTGGGTCCAACTCACATATGAATCATATATGTATTATATGCATGCTAAAATTAGAAGCTCATCTGTGCCCATACCATGCAGATATTTGAGGGAAAATAAAATAGGGAGTGTTTAAGAGATGTTAAACTACTAAATGTTTGAATTTACCCAAATGCATACTATAATGATGTTCAATAACTAAAAAGTGTTGATTTGATAAGTTTTCTATAGAAGGGCAGCTTACAATCTTGAATTCTCTCTTTTGTATACCCAAAATTTATATTTATTGGAAGCAACACACTGATCACCACCAAGGTGATCCTAAACATAAAAAGTGTTGTAGCAGATTCAGAAGAATTCTGTTACAATGTTGTAGAAGCTCATTTTATTCTTGCTGTTTGATGATCAATTGCATTGTCTCTGACTGTTTTACATCTCTGTTTAAGCAATAGTTCGGTTTGTAACTTTTCAAATATGCTAACTGTTGTTTATTTCTTGCACTCTTGCTATATGAGGATCAATGATAATTAAATCTTGATAGGCGAAGGACTTTTCGTCCATTTTTGCGTAGTCATTATCGTGGAACCTTTGTATGTAAGGTCTTTTTTCTTGCTTTTGATTCTATGGCATCCCCTGCTGGCTTTGTTCAAGTATCTTCAGTTGAACATTGACCAGCGAGACCCCTTTAAAAGTATCCAATGAATTTAATATTTACTTATTTTTTTCTTGCTTTTGATTCTGTGGTATCACGTGCTATGTTCTCTCTCTCTCTCTCTCTCTCTCTCTCTCTCTCTCTCTCTCTTCCCATAAGACTGCACGCACAAATCAATAGAACCAACTGTTTCAATTTCAGCTGTAGCTTCTGCTCCATTCCTTCAACAGTGGAACCCCCAATACCCTTGCCCTTCAAATTCCTAATAATATCCCAATCTCAAGATACTTAGGGTGTCTATTATTAGCATATCAATAAGCTGTTTTCCAACAAATGCACTACAAATGAGTTACTAACTATTGTCACCGATATTTGCCTGCCTCTCTCGTTTCACATGGCTTTAGTGGCTGCAATTGGTTTAGGTATAGACCTAAAAAAATCAAACCAAACTTGCGTTAGCATTTTCTCCACTTACCATTTAACTAATAGAAAGCAAGAAGTTTTAGTTCACAACTTTAGAAAATGAGAACTTTCAGATGGGCTAAGTATGGAAGTAGAAATGAAAGAACTTTTAGAAAGTTGATTTAGAGCTACTTGAGTAAATGATGGGAGAAGTGATGATGAATAAGTAACAATTAAATGCATTTATAATCTGGGTGGTATGCTCATAGAGAGTGAAACGGTCCAAGCATCAAGCTCTATGAGAGCATGCCAGCTTGGAAAGACAATCGACTGGTTTTGTGCTGTGAGAAAAGCATTGAAACTAGCTATTGCAAAGCGATGATTAATTATTAGATGAAATGTAAATTATATTGGGTCTGTTGGATCATTGTCGATTCAAGTTGTTCAAATGCATGTAAATATGTCAGTGTAGACGAGCCCCTCACAGTTATTGGGAAATCTGTTTGTGTACCACAGCTTGATTATGTGATCATGGTGCTTATGCATGTTGTACAACGTACCCCTGTTTTTTCTCTAACCAAGAGTTATAGTGAGAAATACCTGAAGCCTTTGATTGGTCTTTGAGCAATATATCCTGCTAATTGTTGGCACGCTGCTGTTTTTTTACACAATCCTTGTCATATGAACTGCATGAATATTGTGCTTTTGTCCATTTATGAATGCTGTGGTTGCCAAGAATGGAGTTTTGTAACTGAGGAAGTTTGATCCTCCTAGAACCTTCTTAGGGTAGTGTTTTTTCTTCACGCATAGTGCTGGAGTTGCCAATTTATATGATCTCTCCTTGTTTGGCTGGTTATGTTTAGACATGCATAGCGCAAGCACATGCAATAGAAACTGATTGTAACTTGGATTTTGTGTATATCCATTTTGTACAATTTCTTCAATTTCCTTATTCTTGTTTGCTTGGCTGTATTTATACATGCCTAGTGCAAGCACACCTTTTTGTTAATGTGAACCTTGACAGTAACTAGTCCCATCCTTTCTCATATCCTGTAATGGAAAGTGATTGTAGCTATGATTTTGTTCAGAATTGCTTCAATGCTGTCTTCTTTACCTTTTTAAATCTTCATTGCATACGTGAGACATCTTTTCATACTTTGTTTCTTGTAATGTAGCTCAGTCCCGGGGGAGGCTAAAACAATGCCTTTTGGAGCATGCTTTTGCCGCAAATGAGCATCAATTTTCTGTTCTTTTGTCATCTTACAGAGCTAGGTAGGACAGACTGCTAATGTCCCTTTTTAATGGCGCATGACCTCTGACGGAGTTCCTTTGGGCTTTCTAGTTTTTGGCAGGACCATAGTTAGTGAAGTTTGTTAGCCCTTGTAATATACCAAGCTGTCGATGAAGCTTCTGTAGCAGTATGTTTATACTTTCGCATATAACTGTAGTATTTTGTACTTTACCAATGCTGTAGGAATGCCAGACAGTTGTTTGACAGAACATCTGATGTTTCTATAGCTGTGAATAATCTAGATCATAACCCAGTAAAGTTTTCTTTTTTCTTTTTCCTATGTTCGCAATGATTTTGGCCATGCAAGAATATTATTCGAGGTATGTTAGCTAAAACTGTGTAAAACATCCGTTCTATATTTCTAGTCAGGAATGACCCTCCAACAATGCATTACTAGAATGTGCTAGGAATGACTGTATCCTAATGGTTGATTATGAGCAGTGTGCCAAACATTATTAATAGTATGGGATGTGCTGAAAGATGATAGCAACTGTCTTTTGACACTTGTAAAGGGGAGGTGGCACCACTTAGTCCCTTTGCAGGAGTGGTATATATTTTGAAGGATTAGGAAAGAGAGGAAAAGAGGTTAGATATGGCGTTTGGAAGGGGAGAAAGGGACGACCTTCCTGGTTTTTGTAGCAGCAGACAGCTGTGTGAAAGAGTTTTAATAACAGAGAAGCCATGGTCAGAAGGCAACGAGGTACTTGCAGCACAACATTAGTAGCATTTATCAGAAGGGTATCAACATATAGTAGAAAACATCTTCCGCAAGCAACAAGCTAAAACTGCCAAAGACAAAAAGAACAAAAATGGCGGAAGACTAGATTTGTTTATATGTACAGTGATCCTACCTAAGTTTCTATTGTAAATCTCACCCTCCGGGTGCATTCTTTAAGATCTTTCCCACGCCGAGTGGATTTTTTGAGAGACGATTTTAGATTCGAGGATGACATCCGGGATAGAAAGTTTGATCCTCTACTCTTGCGTTCAAATCGGCCAAGCCAATACAAAACCGTTTCTTCACGAAATATATTTTTCTTCCTCTTTGCACACTGATAAGCAGCCACTGCGTCAAGCTCGTCAAAGAACACCACCTGGGCTGAGCCCATACGTTGAAAGACTTTGGTTTTCAAGGGGTCCACTCTGCCAAATCTACTAAATTTCCTTATCAAATCCGTTTCAGAGGGAAGATTAAAACCTTTGGGGAACTTCATGTGCAAAGAGTTAGAACAGGCGAAGGAGCAAACTGCTGATTGTTGAGATACTTTTGACTTTAACGGTTGAACAGATGTACCTGGTAGATTGCTCTCATTATTCATACAACTGTCTTCATAAGATGAAATCATGCTCCCTCTTATGCTGGTTTCAACAAATGTGGCATTGTCACTGTTGCTGGGCGTCATCAAGATTTGATGAATACTCGGTTCAGATGACAGACAATTGCTGGTTACTACACTTCCATTCCCAATCTTGTCATAGTCTAAACAAGTTTTAGAATTGTCCAAGTTACCAACTGCTGATCGTCGAGCTACTTGAGGTTTCGAGGTTAGATCAGAAGGGTCAGATTGATAGAGCTCCTTAGTATCCATAGAACTATCTCCAACGGATGAAATCATGGTAATGCCTCCACTAGTTTCAACAGACATGACATCGCCACTGTTTGTAGGCTTCATGCTTGCTCCAGATGTGGCAGCATCATCATTGCTAAGAGTCATCGGCAATTGATGGGTATTCATATCAGATAGCAGGAAATTTCTAGTTTCTGCACATGCATTAGCCATCTTATCATCATCACAACCATTTTCCATGACACAATTAATCACTGGTTCAGCAGTAGAAAGTTGCAGAACTAGTTTACAATCATCCATCTTATCCTCACTCTGAATCCCATCTGCTATCTTCTCATTGGCATCATAATCAACAGATTTTAAGGTCTCGCCATCTTTCAGAATACTGGTGATTCCTCCCGGTCCCTGCATCTCAGCAGAAGGCAAGCAGGTTCCATTATCATTAAGTATATCCACGTTATCTTTGTTCTCCTGAAACATGCTGAGCTCTGGAGTAGTGTTACAGTGAGATGCATCTTTTGCAAGGTAAATGTTGAGCATATTCTGGATCAAGTGCATGGAATGACAATCTTGGATCTCTTCCCCTGCCTCAAATCCAGTTCTACTTCTTTGTAGATGAGCATCTGCTCCCGTGGAAGACAAAAATGGTTCAGTATTGCAAAACCTGGAAGGAAAATCCAAGAAAGCAGGGCTGGGGATTAAAATATCATTCATATGAAAGCTGCACTCAGGTTTTCTTTTCTGAAGATAGGCGTCAGCTTTACTGATTGAGAAGAGAGGCATAGTCTTCAGCAACTTGAAAGAAAAACCAGTATCAGCAGGCAGATCATTCCGTCTCTTTAACCCAGTGAAGTTCATCGGGCTTGCAACGTAAGGCATAAAGGGGCCCAAATTTTCCCTAACAGCTTTTTCATCAACCACAAAACTTGGCTGGCTCCCCACGCACTCAGGATAAGAAAATTGATTGTCACTGCTTATATGATAGCAGTTTTTCAATTCAAGATTAGAAGTGTATTGGTATGACAAATTTCCAAACGTCAAGCAAATCTGCTTCACAGCATTCAAGCATCCTCTCCTCACAAAGGATGCATCTAAAGCAAGACAATGCAAGTTTACCAGCATCTCATCAAATGATTGTGGCTTGGTTTGCTTTGTTTGAGTCAACAATCCACTGTGAAGTTGATCTTCTTGCAAGGTTTCTGGTTCAAGTTCTGAAGCGACTGGTTTTCGAGCCACTGAGTGTGTTGCATTACCTAAGAAGTAACATAGAATCAACTTTCAACAAGATCATGAAATGAAATTTAAATGGAGAACAAACAAACGAATACAAACCTGACATCTATAGAACATCATACAGGCATTATGTATCAGATAGCACATAAGGTTGCTAATCAGACAAAAAAGTGTCACTAATAAAGCCCTACTTTTTATCATATACATAATCTCTACTTCTATGTACCGAGTTACCCAACCCTTGCTTCAGGCAAGTAGCACACCAACCGACGTCAATCACAGTACTATCACAGGAGGCTTTCAATAAATGATGACTACAAATATTTAACTTGCTGTTAATTAATAGCACAGGCCATGGGTGTGACAGAAAATATCAGGAGACCATACTCTCAAACCATGGCGAGTCTCACAAGCATACCGGCCTGCTAATATGCTCTTCAATAATTGAAGAACTAGTAGTAACTCAATCTTCATGGTAAAAATTTCATTACTAAATCACGTGTGCAAACTATGAACTGAGTCTATTTAACGATTTGAAAACCTATTAATCACATACCTGAAGCTGATAAACAAACACAATCATCCACATTTTGCGTTTTCTTAATTGCCTCTTCATTTAATAACAACTGGTGTTGGGTCACCAAAAATCGACGAAACATTTGAGCCTGAGAAACCCAACTGACAGCACACACAAAATCTGAATCTTCCACAAATGGGCAAACCCCCAGTCCACGAACAAAACCCACCACCGAATTCGCACAAAACAAAGAACCCACATCTCCATTTTCGTTCGTTCTTCTTACATTCTCGGATTCCAGAAGACAAGGGCATCGCAAGCTCGAAACGGAACGTCGTGCAATCAATTTCAACACATGATCAAGCAGTACCTGGCCAATGCTACATTTTATTTTCTTAACTAATGAATCGAAGTTTTCTTTGAAAGAACATACCTCGGATTCAAGAAAGTAACGAGGTTTAATGATGTTGAAGAAAGCAACGGAGATGCCTAGAGTGTTGGTTGTTGAAACTAGACCTGGGTACCATGTTTTTGGGTATATTACTCTTGCCCATACTATATCTCCTCTTTGAAACCTCATTGTTTCTGGGTTTCTTGATTTTTGGTTTCTTTTCCTTGTTAGGTTTGATTTTGCCGCCTTCTTTTTTTCCCCTCTTTTATTTATTTATTTATTTTCCTTGGAGGTGATTGGAGAATATTTCCCGCTTAATTGATGTGATTTCCCGCGTTAATGAGCATTGGACACTTTAATGGTTTTGGGTTTACGGGCTTTTCCTTCTTTCAAGAACTGGATTTATGGGCTTTCAGAAAGTTTTTCATCCTTCAAATGGATAAGTGGTAAAAACGGGATTCACAAGTTTTTCCACGTCAGATCTGGCTTGCCAATGCAGTGTTAATGTGTTAAAACTCGAAAACCCATTAATCATGTAGTAAATTATAAATTAGTCTCCCTTGTTTTCAGAAATGATTTGATTAATTTTTTTCAAAAAAAACTAATCATTTAGTTTCTTATGTTTTGATTCCATTAAGAACTTATTTTTTCATTAGTTTCCATTAGAATGGTAATGATGTATTTTTATTATAGTATTTTTTGCTTTTAAATTATCATTGCTTTTATGTATTATTTCTCTCTTTTACAATATCATTTCTCTTTCTCTCTCTTCGAACACCGAAATGAATTCTTATTTTCTCCTCATATCTCTACTTTTTGTTTTATTAAAGGTAAAAAAGTATAACCATTCTTGAATTTTAAGTTATTTGAGATTGAGTTTTGAAATTTTTTTATTGGTTATGGAGTTACATGAGTTTGACTATTTTTAAAATTAATTCTATCTTTTTTTTTTTTTTAGAGATATCGAAGGATGTGCATGTAAAAATATAAAACAAACATGTCAAACTAAATTTAACAAAAGTTGTTTGACACTTTTTAATCATTTTGATGAAACTCTAGCCTATCTTCACTAATTAACTAATTATGAACTAATATGTAATTTCACAATTAGCCACATTAATTCATCCACTCACCAAAAAAACTAATTGTTCTTTGAACCTCTTTTTTGATATGCGAAGCTCTCTTATTCTCTATCTCCGGCTCTTTTTTTCCATCCTTCATCTATTCATCTATCACACTTCCTCCTCTTCTATCTTCGTCTAATCATTTTTTCATATTTTACTTCTTCGTTTGTCACGTTAAAGCTCTCTGCATTTGTTATTTATTCGCTCTCTCGTTGTCGCTCCCTCACCATCGATTGATATCTACAAAAATTAAAACTTTAACTTCTAAGGTTAGTGACATAGTTGCGAGGCCGGCTTTATAATATATGTGATCCTAAGTAAAATAATATTTTAGAGACTCTTTCTTAAAACAAATAAATATTAAACATTATTTAAATTTTATTTTTCTTGTTTTCACGAGATGCAAAATCTCTAATTAAATTTGTGTATTCAAGTTTACAAAGCAGATCTTTTTCAATTGATAATATAGCTAAATTACTTAATCTTTCTTGTGACATAGTTGAACGTAAATAAGATTTTATTAATTTTAATTTTGAAAAATTTCTTTCAACTGAAGTTACAATAACATGGATAGTTAATAGTATTCTATATGCTATCCATGCATTTGGAAAAGAATTTACCTTTTTTATAAAATTTAGTACGGCGAGTGGTGTTTTCATTTCTATAGTTATAATTTCTTTTAAAACTTTTAATTCTGAAAATAAATCTAAATCATCAATATCGAAAGCATATAGTGCTTTAGAAAGTTTTCAAGATTTAAATAATTTTTTTTCAAAATATTATCATTGAGTGATTTTAATTTTTCTACACTATAAAGAAAACCAAAATTATCTTCATATATTTTAAATTGTTCAAACTTATTTTAAAGAGAGGAAATCGCATGATCAACTAAATATGTAAAATAATTAATTCTAAAAGATTCTTCAATAGATAATTTCATGTCTTCATTTTCAATCTCATCAAATTGTTTCTTTCTTCTTATTGTACGCTTTTCACAAAATTTTGGTTCTATATTCATTTGCTCTGCAATTTCCTTCTCCAAGATCATAGAAGATGTAAACCCATTTTCTCTATAGCTTTTAAAAAAAGAAATAAGACCTTTCAAGTGGTCTATTGTAAGAGCAATATCCATATCTTTAAATTGTAAATATTTACTAACCGTATTAATAGAAAACAACATATCATACCAAATAATCATGCCTAATAGAAATTCAAAATTTTCAATCTCATATGTTGCTAAAGAAATAACTTCACCTTTTGTTTTAAGATCCTCACTAGTTTCGTTAATTGATATAAAGCATCTCTTATTTGTTGAGCTTGAAATCTAATTGCTTTAACACTTTCAATACAACTTTCCCAATGTGTTTGTGATAATGGCTTAAGTGTCAAATTAGAAACATGATCTTGTAAAATTTTTCATCTTTTTGTAGAAGAAGAAAATAATGAATATATACGTTGTGTCACTCCAAAAAATGTCATAGCACTAGCACATGAATTAGCCATATAAAAAAGAACTAAATTAAGATTGTGACGACCATATAGTGTATAAAATGCTCTAAAATTTATATCTACTAATCTTTTTTGTACACTTTAATGTTTACATTTCATATTAGACCCATTATCATATCCTTGCCCTCTCACATTATTTACGTCAAGTTCAAGAGTTTTTATCTCACTTGTAAGTTCATTAAAAAGACTTTCACCGGAGGTATCCTCCACTTTTAAAAAATCTATAAAATACTCTTCTATTTTTATTGAAATTGTCGAAATATCTACACATCTTAATATAAGAGACATTTGTTCTTGATGACTTGCATATGGAGTACAATCAAATATAACTAAAATTTTTTTTGATTTTTTTATTTTTCCGATAATGGTATTTCTTATCTCTAATGCTAAAATATTTATCAACTCATTTTGTATATTATGACCAAGATAATGCATATGAATATCTCCATTTTGAATACGTCAAAGGTGTTCTTGCATTATTGGGTCAAACTTAGCAATCATTTCAATTAAACTCAAAAAATTTTCATTATTGTCCTAATAAATCTTCTCATTTGTATCACGAAATGCCAAATTATTTTTTGAAAGAGCTTTTACAACAACAATAATTCTTAATAATACATTCCTCCAATGCTCTTTATCTTTATTTATTTTCTCTTGTAAATTCTTATCAATTATTTTGTTTTTAAGCAATCTCATATGAGCATCAACCCAAATGTTCATATTAATAGCATGTTCGTTACTTGTCTCATGACTTTTAAGTTTGGTACTAAGATTTTTTCAATCTCCACGTTCTTCATTTGCTAATTGAATATTTGATTTCAAACTAAATAATTTATAACAATAACAAAACACTTTATCTAACACTTTTAAATATGCTAGCCATTTTCTATCATGTTTTTCTCCGTTTGGTAATTTTCGAATGTAATGAACCATAGAAAAATGTCTAGAGTTTTTATCTTTTAGAAAATCTAAAATTTCTCAAATTGGACCTTTCTCAACTAATAAATCAATCAGTTTTGAGTCTAAATTTTTCCATCATGTCGGATCGTAAATATTTTTAATTATTGTTGCATCTTCATCATTAATATTTTCACTTTTATTGATTGAAACATCATCTTCTAAATTTTCATCATATTCTTCATTACTTTTTGGTGAATTTGAATTGTTATCTTCAAATTTTTCTTCACGAGTTTTCAACTATATTTTCATTTAAATCTTTATCTTGTTCTTCTAGTATTTGAGGTTTAATATTAGTAACAAATCTATCAAGTGCACCTTTTTGGGATTGAATTAGTTCTTCTACCTTTCTTTTTTCTTACTTTTTTCATATCTAGATTCATACTTTCTAGGAGACATTTTATTCAAATAATAAAATTAAAATATAATTATAAAAAGAATAAGAAACTTTGACACCTGATTATATTTGCTTGCCACGCCTAATCAAGTAAACCCGGAGAGAATCACTCGAGAAAAAAATAAAATATTATATGATTTATATACATAATTTTATTTGCATAAATTAAAAAATTACCTTCGATTTTTCCGCAAGCTAATTAGAAAAGGTTTTATAAGAGATCCCCGATTGTTTTGAGAAAGAAAGGAATATAATAAAAAAAATTTGAGATCTAAAAAATGTTTCACTCACAAAGATTTTTCTAAAACTTTTCCGTAAGTAAAAGTGGAGGCTGCATCTTTTAATTTATCTCATTCTTCTAGGGTGTAGGTTTAGGGTAAAATTTTAATTAGGACCCTCCTTTCTATGGGGGCCTTAGGCATAGGCCTTGATGGCCTATGCCTTGAGCCGGCATTGCATGGTTGTTAACGAAATTGATTTTTTTATATAGATTATGAGGTTCATTTGCATGTTGCATTTTGAATTATTATCTCAAAAAGCAATTTTTTGTTATGAATAAATTCAATTTGTTAGAGAGGAAGAGTCGAAGGCGATTGATGATAGTGGAGTTTTGGTGTGGGTTGGTCGACGGTGTGGGTTTGAGAGAGAATGGCAAAATGGTTGCCTTTTGGGGAGATCGGCGAGAAGGCTAATGATAGCGGGGAGATCGTCGAGGTGGTCGGCTTTTGGAGAGAAGGGCAATGTGGTTGGTGTTTGTCGATAGTGAGAGAGTGAGAGGAGCGGCAGTGGCTTGTTAGTGGTTGTGGCATGATGATGGGCGACGATGGGTTTCGATTGAACTTAAGAGGAGCAACAAGTGGCATGATGGGAAAAATTTTGTAATACACAAAGAGTAATTAGTGACGTGTATAATAGTTACTATATGAACTCACTTTGAGAAAAGAGATAGACATATTGAATTATATCCGGACCCACGAAAATTGATAAAAAGATTTTCTCGTTCGTTCAATTTTTTTTTTAATTCTCTTTTTTGTTTCTCTCTTCTTTTTTGTATCTATCTCTCTCTTCAAATTAGGTATATGAAGTAACTAATGTACATGTAACTAGTTACTCCTTGTGTATTATAAAATTTCTCACATGATGGAGGCTAGTGGTGAGTTTCGACTTCTATTGGTGTTTCGACAACGGAGGATGACGATAGTTCAACTAGATAGAATTTTTAGGAAAGAAGAAACTGTTGCCTAGGGATTTATTTATTTATTACAATAACAATAGAGGAGCTTTATGTATAGGGTTTTAGGGATGAGTGCCAAATTTTACTTTGGCCCCTTATTTTGTGTGTATTTCCTATTTTCATTTAGTACCATTTCATTTCTTTTCAATCAAGCTCCTAATTGAATTTATTGTTTTGGGTGGATGAATTAATGCAGTTAATTATGAAATTAGATATTAATTCATAATTAGTTAAGGCGAGTTAGATTTATTAGGAAAATTAAAAAGTGTCAAGCATCCTTTGTTATTTTTAGTTTTACATGCATGTTTTATATTTTTACGTGCATATCTTCTATTATTTCTAATGAAAAAAAATTGAATGAACTTAATTTCAAAAATTATAAAGTTCAACAATTCTCATAACTAATAAAAAAATTTCAAAACTCAATCTCAAATGACTTAAAATTGAGAAATTGTTAAACTTTTTTAGTTTTTTATTAATCTACGCTTCATTTCTTTCTTCTCAAGCATCAAAATATGTCTTCATAGATGAGATAGATTTAACAAAAACTTAATGCAAAAATACTAAATAAGGACTAAATATATCTTCTCAAAACGAGAGAGATATAATTTACTCTTTAATCATGCGATAACATTAAAAAAATAATAATAATATATTTAAGGTGGCAAAAGCAAGTTATCCTCTTTTGCTTGTAAAAGCAAGGAAACGATTGCTTTAATTTGTTGCTTTGGACAAAGTGATCGTTGATCATTTGTATTGCTAGCGGAATGAATCAATCAATTTGTCCAATTTTAAAGTCGTGAAAGCGACTTGTCCCCTCTTCCCTCCTTCCCTTATCGATGTTTATCCAGTTGATAATAACAAGCAATTATTTTAAAGAGGTTTCGTAATTATTTTTTACTGCTACTGGAACAAATCATCAACTCCACAAATGTTGCTTTCTTAAGCAAAATAATTTACCATAATTTATTATTATTAAAATAAAATAGTCAATTGAATTGCTCCGTCCGGCGACAGCAGAACTTATGTTTTCCATTAGAAAAGCAACATAAATAGCTTGTATACGCAACCAATAATGTTCTTAAGGTCGGCAGTACATTCGTTTTTCCAAACATGCTTGATTCAACATTACAATGATTCATTAACATTTTCTCAAGTGTAGAATAAATAGAATTACAGAGGGGTAAATACCGAGTAACATCTTCAATTATTTGCTTGCCAACTTGTCTCTCAAATTTTTCCTCAAGATTTTGCCTGATGGTGCCTTGGGAATAGCGTCTACGAAAAACACTCGCTTTATTCTTTTGTAAAAAATCACCTGCATCATTGTCATTAGTCAGCAACGGGTAAAATATATAGTTTGTCATTTTTTTTTTCCTGGCAGCTAGGAAGAAATATATTGCTGATTAAGGCTTACCTGTTTTGAAATATACTGCTTAATTTCATCTTCGGTGACTTGAGATTTTTCTGATTTTATTACGAAGGCAACTGGAACTTCTCCTGCAGCCTCATCTTTCATTCTGAGATTTAAAAATTATTTACAATGTGAGATTCATATTCGAGGGATAGAATAAAATTTACTAACAGGGGGAGGGTGTTAATATTTTGCACTTACCCGACCACAGCAGCATCAGATATCTCTGGATGAGCTAGTAACATAGCTTCGAGTTCGGCAGGAGCAACCTGAAACCCTTTGTATTTGATCAATTCCTTCAATCTATCAACGATGAAAAGCTCGTCATCGTCATCAATGAAGCCGATATCGCCTGTGTGTAACCATCCTTCTTTGTCTATTGTTCTTGAGGTTGCCTCAGGGTCATTAAGATATCCTGTAAATTTACCAGAGTCCAAAATCATTTCAATTTTTTTTAAATTAATCAATGTAAGATTAAGGCTTAATTATTTGATTTTTTTATTATTAATTAACGAGGAGAGTTTTTGTTACCTTTCATGATCTGATCCCCTCGGATGCAAATTTCACCAGGCTGATTCCTTGGTAGAGAGGCACCTGTTTCAGGGTCAATAATCTTCATCTCTGCATTCCTAACCACAGTTCCACATGCACCTGGTTTTATGTCAAAAGGTTCTTTGGCAAATGCCAAACACATTGCTAGAACTGGTCCTGCTTCCGTCATTCCATATCCCTATCACATCAAATCAAATCATCCATCAGTCTTGCTCTGATATGTATTAAAAGACCATCTCATCTAAAACCTTAGGTGCTTAAATTGATGATTGAGACCTCAGAATATAATTTATATTAGTCTTTAACATACTCCTTCAAGTGAAAGATCCAACATTTAGACTTGAAATTTACACAGGTCCATGTTGTCTTGTGTAAATTGGAGATGGTGAGACTTGAATTAAGAACCTCTTGGTCAAACAAGCTTTGATACCATATTAAATGATTATTTCACCTAAAAACTTAAGTTAATAAATAAAGCTCTAGATTATAATTTATATTAACCTCTAATAATAATAATATGCATACTGGTTAGCATAATATTGAATTATGAATTTAAAGCACTGCTCCTATTTTATTTATGCATGCAAGAAAAGGGAATGGTCGAAAAGACAAGTAAACCAGAACTAGATGGCCCTTTCATTTGAAAGCATTTTATTTGTCTAGTTGGAAAACTTCCATGCTTCAGAGTTTGGTCCATACCCTGATGAAATTAATGTCGCTTATAGGTAGGAGGTGATCTGTTCAAAATTAGAGATGTGATCCTGATTACATTACATTCCATGTTCTAGGGGCAGCATTTCAAAATTTGATCATGACAATGACCCTTCAACCCCCTAAATATTACCAAAAAACGAAGCTAAAGGGGTAGATCAATTTAATCCAGCATCTTAGACAATAGATTATGGTTTTATTTCTCTCTGTTTTTATAAACGGTCAATGTGTGACCTCCTCTTACAACATACCCTATTTTTCAGGTTTTAATACTCTTGTAATCATTGACTCGGACCACTAGGCCCCTCCTGCAAAATTTAAGGTAAAAAAAAAGAAAATGACTCCAATTTAGGGATGATATTTGGTTTATCAGATCAGTTGTTATTATTTTTATTTTTATTTTTATCAACCGAATCTAAAATAAAAAACGAATTAGAATTGAATAACTAGTCGGTTTTTTGGTTTAAAAACCAAAGTTTTAGTTTTTTTTATTAAACCAGAATTTTTTTAAAATAATATAAATAGACCAAAAACACTATTGATCCATCATATATATATATATATATAATGTTAAAATTTGTTTTTGCATTTTTGTTTATTTACATAATTTAAAATTTAAAATAAAAAAAGTCAGTTTTTGGTTTAAATCAAACCAAAAATTTCCAAATTCAAACCTAAAAAAATAAAGAAAAAAAGGTTTGTTTTTCATTTTGAAAAAAATTGATTTAGTTCTGATTTTAAGTTTAAAAGGAATAATACTTACTCCAATTCCTCTCAAATCAATTCCATGGAAATGATATAACAATTATTGAAGAAAGAAATACTAACTAATGTCTGACTCATAGAAGTAATAATTTTCGGTTCCTACAAAATAAGCTATAAAAGAGCCGGCCTTCCAGCTTTTGTGCAGGCCTGACACTGGCTGGAGACGTGGAGTCCATAACTGAGACCTGACCATGGTGGACCTATACTGCAATAATACTAAACATTTGAGGTCATCTATATGTTATATAGTTTTTGTCTTGTTTTCCAACTCCTTCTCTCAAAAAAAAAACCATTCACATGCTAAAAATATTGACAGTATGATAACGTACTTTCTTTCATCCCAAAAAAAAAAAAACAAAAAACGTCGCTTTCTGTCACATGGTAAATCTACACATTTAAAACAGGATCACAAGACACCCCCCCGTGCTATGGATTCCAAATCCAGATAACTCCACAGAAATTAGGGTCCAGCTATGATTCTTTTGAGATTAGTTACTATACATGTGCTACAAATTAATAATTCCATCAATAATTGAGACTACTTGATTTTTTTTGTTATATTTTATTTTACGGTCAAGTGATATTTCTTGCACGAAATGTCAAAGATTAAGAAAGAAAAATCATATTGAAACTAGAACATTTACGAGAAATTACATTCTTGTAACCGCTTGCTAACTAGGACAGTTCTCAAGTTTTTGAATTTAATCAAACATGATTAAACTATTCCTTAGTCTAAATTCACCTAATTGACAGCGATAGCAATATAATCCAACCATAAACCAAGTCAGAGACAATTATAGTTTTGAGTTAATCAAACAAAATGGGGAAAATGATAGGCATAATCGAACCAAAATTAAAAAATATGTGTATAGATATAGAAGGGACATGGCTATAATGTGAGCAAGATGAAGGGGGCATACCTGACCAAGTCTAGCATGAGGAAACTTAGCTTTTACAGTATCTTCAAGTTCCTTGCCCAGCGGTGCCCCTCCGGACTTTAACATCCTTAACGAAGACAAGTCGTGCTTATCAAGATCGGGTGACTTAGCGATTGCCAGCATCACTGGTGGGACAACTGGTGCTATCGAAACCTTGTACTTCTCAATCAAGCCCAACAAAGTACCAATCTCAAACTTCGGCAGGATCAAAATTGCAGCACCAACTCTCAACCCACAAAGCATTATTGAATTCAGAGCATAAATATGGAACATAGGCAACACACACAAAATGACATCTTCACTGTGAAAATATAGGTTGGGGTTGTCTCCATCTACTTGTTGAGCCACACTGGTTACTAGCCCTTTGTGGGTTAACATGACCCCTTTCGGTAGCCCTGTAGTCCCTGAAGAGTAAGGCAATGCCACGACATCATCAGGCCTAACGTCAACCTGGGGCATTTTCTCTTCATCGGCCTGTGTTAGCTCTGAAAAGTGCAAGCACCCTTCTGGAGCAGAGTCTACACACATGACCTTGACATCATTTTCTTGAGCAAAATCTCTAACCTTCTCATAATAACAAGCCTGTGTTATCAAAAGCTTTGCTTTTGAGGCCTTGGCGTGTTTTGCTAGCTCTGCAGGGGTGGAGAAAGGATTGGCTGCAGTGGTAATGGCACCTCTGTGTGAAGCACCTAAGAAAGCAAGCACAAATTCAGGCGAACTTGGTAGGAAGAGCATGACCACTTCACCTTGTTGAATTCCAAGCTTGTTAAGACCAGAAGCAACTCTTCTTGCTGTGAGCTCAACATCTGCATAAGTGTAGACATCTCCATTTGCGCCATTTATCAGACAAGGCTTTGATGAATATTTAGAGAAGTTTTCAAGAACGTATGAATGTAGAGGAAGGTTTTTTGGGATGTGAATGTCTGGTAATTTAGAGCGAAAGATGAATTCTTGTTGCTGTTTTGTTATGCTCTCCATTGCGGGCTAAATTTGCACAGGGAAAGGGGGTGAATTTTAGGTACTCTCTGTTTCTGATGACTGGAGACCTGAGAGAGCAGAATGGAAAGCATTGGCGCTATTATAGAAGTAGATGGCTTGGAGAACGGGGGTTGGTGAAAGGACAAAATGGGTGGAATGGTAGCTTTTGAAGGGCAAAATAGTAAAACAATGATTGAAAAAAGGGGGAATGTTTGGTGAATGCTGAAGAATCTGTGGAGCTGGGTTTGGTGAGATTAGCGTTATTGGTGGGGATAGGAGGTTGGGATGGTGGGCTCCCATTTGGGTTGGTTATGAAAATGGCCTTTTGACTTGAGAGAGGTGCCGTTTCCTCCCCTTGTCCTCTCACCTACCACCGATCCATTTTATTTTATGCACAAATTAATTTGACAGCAGTTGCACCTCTGCTTTCACCTACTACCTCGATTAATGCACAAAATTAACCATACACAAATTAATTTTATGATTTGTATTTAGACATATATTTTAACAATTAGTAACTTCTTTATTAAGAAAAGACAAACATTATAGTTGGCATGAAGATACAAAATATATATATATATATATATATAAATACAATTTGTATACATTGAGGACACAGTGGATAAATAGTAGACATGTATAGAATATGTAATGGATACGATTATGACTTTGTAAGATTAAATTTGTGATTTTTCTATGAAAAAATTGGTTCAAATATTATTTTAAGTTTTTTATGAGTTAAAATAATTAAATATTTAACTAAATAAAACCTTGCTTGAATTTATTATTTTTTTCATGTTTTTATACCAGAAATAGTTTATAAAAAAGAAAAATGTTAAATTTTTTTTTTTTTTTGATTAGAAAAATATGACATTATTTTTTAAATTTAATAATTATCTAATTTTATGAGAGATAAAAATATTAAAAAAGAGAGAAAGGTAATAATAATTAAATTAGAGAGAGAAATATAGAAATATCCCTAATTCTTTCACGATCATCATAATAATTATCAACATAATTTGCCTTTTAAATATCTAAATTCATTTCATTGTTAAACAATTATAAATAACAGAATTTTTATCCTTTTCTTTTACAACTTTATATACTCTTGAATTCAATCATTATACATCATTATTGGCTATATTCATTTGTTACAGTTTTATGTTTTATTTAACTATAAAAGTTTAATAATATATATAATATTTAAAAATTTGACATATTTATCACGTATCATATTCTAATTTTTTTTTAAATTACCGTATTCATATTGTATTAGACCCGTATTTCATGTCCATATCCATGCTTCATAGGTCGCCCTTGCCTCACTTTATCAGCATTTATTACTATAAAAATTTTTGCTTGTCATGCAAAGTGTTATTATTCACATGACCCTAATCTTGTTTTACCAGTAATTAGGAATTTACTATTCTTTTACAAATAATAATAATAATAATAATTTATGTATCTTCAATAATTCTTTAAATAAAAATGATATACGCTACAAAAAAACCGTCAAATAGCAATGGACGTTGATCCATCACTCGAATAAAAAAAATAGCAATAGAATAACTTCGTTACAAACAACGATTGAATAACAATGGAATTGAGACGATTTATTAACAACAAACACTAATCCGTTGTTAAATTTGAAGATAAAACCTTCCGGAGAGCTTTAGAGATGATTTAGCTACAAATTTACTAGAAAAAAAATGATGAAAAAGTTCATCGCTAAAGTTAAAAAATTAGGCAAAATTAGATAGATTTTATGATAACCAACAAATTAACGATTGTTTTAGATCGATTTAACAATGTAAATTCAATAAATTTATGATAAAAAAACCATCGTTAATAAGTGACGGAAATAAATTTCTGTAGCTAAGAAAATTTCAACTAACATATTAACAACAAAATTTAGATTGTTTCTAATTCGTTTACGTAGCTAATTGTATATAACAATGAATTTTCTTCTTACAACGTTGGGAAAATTATTCGCAAAACCTTTTTGTATGAAAATTTTGTATCTATAGCATTGTTCAATTTTTAAAAAGGAAAAAAAATATATTTTTTGATACAGTATGAATGCTTTTAATTACCATTTACCACCCTGTGTGTATTTATTTTATTGTGCAAATCACCATAAAATAATAAAAAATGAATCGTACATCATGGACAGCAAAATTAATTCAATAAACAAATCATTCAATCAAATATCTCACACCATTCCAGCTAATAAAACTTCAGAAGAAAATATTCTCATAAAAACCTCATCGTTTTCCCATCATCATGAGAAAATCACTTTTAATAATTAAAAAACTAGTGTTGGTCAGGCTCTATGTCTATCACAAACACATTATGAATTACGCTTCGTCATGGTCCATGCACATATATAATAATATTAATTTAGTACATGCAGGTTAACTAGTTCAAAAACCTATACAAAAAAGGACTGACCTAAGTTTCCCTTCCTTTATATCATCCCAACGTCATACCACTATCAGAATTTTATCCCATACGACCAATCCTACAACAATATCATGCAATTATTAACCAAAATTAAGCTACCACACCGATTTAAGTCATAATTTTAACATACATTTGTCACAAATGGTAAAATAGTTGGAAAAATAGGCTAAATCAAGCCCACAGCTATTCTTGATAGATGCTTATTATCGCGATTTATGAATATTTACGAAAAAACACATTCTTCTTTCTTCATTCATATATATGTTTTATAAATTTAAAATATCATGTTTATTTTTTATTAAAATATTATCATCTAACATTAGAAATAAAATTAATTTTATTTGAAACAGACACAATAGAATTTAAATTTTTTCAACAAATATCATTACAGGATTTGAACCTTGTAAACCGATAAAAAATTAGTTTAAAACCAATTTATTTATCAATAAATTAATAATTGTTGGTATACTTTTTTTTATCATGTTAATAAAATTTAGAAAATTTTTTTAGGAATAGTAATATTCTAATAAATGCTGAATTTACAAACACCAACCAACCGCCACCTTCACGTTCCAAAAAAGAAAGGGATATTCCCGTATGGCTTGTTTAAACTAGAAAATTTTCACCAACAAAATTGTTTTTGACTACTAACGTAAGAATTTGTTTTCTCATTCGATAGGATCCGTCTGAGAAATTTGACCAAATGGATGAGTTGGTGGAAATAAATAGGAATGCAGCTTTAAATAATTTGATTAATTCATACAAGTTCAAAATAGAATCTCAATGAAGAGAAACCGTCTTGATCTATTTTCCGTTTTCAACGTTACATATATATATATATATTTTTTTTCATATGAATTGCAACAAAGAGATTCTACAATTAATTAAAGTAGATGGTACCTAACGAGGAACAAGTAGAATATATTGATCTCTTTAGAAATAATTCTGAACTTGTCAAACCAATTAAGCTGTACATTAGCATCATCATCCAAAAATTGTTGGTTTCCTGATCAATTCCTCATAACCTAATCTCAATTAACCCTGATTAAAAATCTGAATACACTTATCCAATCTTCAATCCACATCATGCAGGCATATATATTCTTTGACTGCTAAAAAAGTGGAGGCATGGATAAAAACATGTTTACTATTATAAAAAATCTAAAAGAAGATGTAGTTTTATTAAAGCCAACTCTGCTACAGTGAATTAAAAGAGTACAGTTTTTCAAAATAAATAATATTCCTAAGATATATTTAAATTCAATTATGGCATATGTATTTTATTAAATATTGCATAATATATATTAAACTAAACAATTCTCACAATTAGTGTTAGTTAATTTTTATTTTACACCTAGATTTTTTAATTATTTAAAATATTAAAAAAATTAATGGTTACTTTGTTTTTTTTTCACAGACTAATTAACTTCAAGTAAAAAAAATCTTCTAATATAAATTGATTTAGCACATTCTTTTAATTTGATTTTTTTAAAAAAATAATTAATCACTTTTTTTTATTGATCAAAATAAAAAAATATTCTTAGAATATATTTAAGCTCAATTGATATATATATATATATAAAGTTAAACAAATTCTTACCATTAGTGTTATTTAATTTTTATGTTACAAGATTGTTAATTTTTTAAAATAATAAAATAAATTATATAGATTTATTCGTGGCAACAAACGGATGCTATGCTAGTAATTGCTAATCAAACATCTAACAACAAGCTAATGAGCTGCAGCTTAATTACCTCATTTTTCTCCGAAGAGGTATCCAGTTCGAACCCAAGAAAACATCTAAGAACAATGCACACAGTTGCCACAATTCTCCAGGGAACTTTGATACAAGTTCTAGGCATATTTGTAGCCACAAATTTACTTATCCTTACAGACTAGTGATAGATAGCAAGGCCAAACGGTTGACAAAACGAAACGGAGGTATTGTTGGGCTGAAAGCCTGAAACAGGTGTTTAGGACTTCAACCTCATGAATGCAGCTTGAAGCCATTGTATAACCTTTGTCCTGCTGGTGCCTCCTAATTCAAGGGAATCCTCCATGAGTTTCAGCTTGTCAGCTACGCTTCCTAACTCTGTAGCAAGAAATGATGGGATGAAGAGAACCCCACTGAAAGGAAACTATGTGATTTATGTTTTGCTATAAAGATGCCGGTTATATACCTGTATTTGTGACACTGTTGATTTGACGGACTTCCATTGGATTCATGAACGTATTCATGCTCCTACTCCTCCTTTGGGCAATCAAGATCCTCCTTCCTTTTACCTCTTCCTCTTTGTTGCGTCCGTCTTGTCCTCCTTGTTCTTCTACTAGCTTGCCTGTATTAGCTAAGTACTTCCTAACTCTGTAGCAAGAAATGATGGGATGAAGAGAACCCTACTGAAAGGAAAAAATGTGATTTATATTTTGCTATAAAGATGCCAGTTATATACCTGTATTTTCCATGCTTTATATTTGAAGGACTTTCATTCGATTCATGAGCATTTTCATGCTCCTCCTCCTCCTTTGGGCTCTCAAGATCCCCTTCCTTTTTATCTCTGTCTTCAAGAATACTCTTCATTTGGTCCTTGGAAAATTGTTCTTGAAAATCCATCTTAGGAAAAGAATTGCTATGGTCAGTCAAGTTAGATGAAGGACATCTAGAGATTATGAAATTAAAATCATGTAAACAAAACAGGTCCAAGTAATGAGAAGCTACACCTCTAGCAACTAGAAACCGTGTCAGGAATAAGGAATTAACTCTCATCATGAACAACTAACATAGTTTTGATGGACAGTAATGATTGTTTAACTACAGAATTATCAGAAAAGGCATGTACTGCGTCAAGGTTTGGTGGATTTAGATTTTTTAATGGTGGCTAAAAATGCTTACATTAACCGAGACATAAGTCCATAAGCATTTGGAAACTATTACCTCTTCTATGTTCTGTTCATGCGGCAATTTGATTCTCTCTCTCAAAACCTTAATTTCATTCATTGCCTCTTGCAGGCTCTTCAGCATGATGCCATTTGATTCTTCAAGAAGTTTTGCTTGTCTTTCTTGTTCAGCTACCCTGTTGTTCAGCCATATAAGCCGGTGATTGTCCTCACTCATTTGCCTGATTCGGTTCACAACCATCGCTTGGTATGATCTGATTTCATATTTCAGCTTGCCTACAGACCAATTACACAGCATATTATTATATGATCGTTGGCAGAAATCTTTTTAAGGGGATTATATTAAAAAAGAGTTAAATTTCAAGCAGAAAAAACCTCTTGAATACTTGTTGAAGTGATCCACATCTTCTTTCTCTGCCATGTAACCGTGAAGTTGGTGCTCCCCGCTTGGTAGGAGGTAGACTGGACTTTTATTCCAAACCTTTCTACCAGTTCCTTGATCTGCAAAATGTTTATCGAGGCGCTCTGCCTCTAAATAGCCTCTTGCTGAGCTCTCAAAAATCAAAATACTCATCCCGCAATGTCCACGCGAATTGTATGCTTGTTGAGCCTTCTCAATAGCATCATATGAGCTGAACTTGTCAAGCAGTTCTTGATTTGTCATGCCAACCCACTGAAATTTAATTTGATACAAGCAAAAACTTGATTAGATCATAATCAGCAATAATATTTCAGATACAGTACACAAAATATACTATTGTCATCATTAATGGCCGTATCTGAGGGAGAAAACATGATCGTACCTTATTTTTCTCATCTTTTTCACGGCTTTTTGTATTCCAGACAACAACCATTGGAGGCCAAACAATCTCATGATCTTTCTTCTCATCTTTTAGACCTTTCCATTTACTCAACACTTCACCAGCAGGACTGTCAGAAGTTCCCTTACTTCTAAACGACTCTTCCAACAGCTGTGCGAATTCCCCATGGAATTTGGCCCCTTTTCCTCCTGTGGTTTTGGCATGTGATATCAAGGCCTGCAGGCCTTGGTAACATTTGGTGGCACCAGAAACAGCTTGGCATACAGGATAGTATAACTGCACCGTAGGTTCATTGACATCCTCAGGTGCCAATTCCTTGAACAATCTGCTCTTCTTGTTGTCATCCAAAACGTCAGAGTCATCATGATCGTCAAGAGCAGCAGTAACATTATTCTGAATATCATTTGCAACTCTTTCTTGGCCAGCTTCCGAATCCTTTCTCGGAGTAGAACTAGAATCAAAACCTCCTCGCCCATTCCTTATTTGTCCCACAGGTAGGCATTCTACAGATTGTGCAGCAATGTTCCTGAAATATCTGGAGGTTGGTCGTGGGCCTCCATTTCCTCTGCCAACCGGCGATTCAAAATTAACATTAAGTGGAATGTCTGAATTCTGATCCACACCTTTATCTTCCTGGGCGTTAGCATTGGGACTCTGTGGAATAGTCTCCTGTTTTGCAGCAATGATTTCAGCCATTTTCCTATAGCCATCATGTGCTGAATTGAGACTAATAATCCTTTCTGCACCATGACTGACTGGTTGTTTTTTCGACTGTTCGATAGTGTTGCTGTAGAGTTGTTGTAAGTAAAAAATTAGTCAAATTTAAAAAAACAGCAGTTTGTGAAACAAATCTTAGTAATTAAGCAATGACAAACTTTTCTGTTATTTAAAAATGTTACTGATTTGATATGAAAATTTTAAGCAACACTCTTCTAAAATTCATTTCTAAAGTCTGATCGGAAAGTAGAAACTTGTAGCAATATATTGAAATGTTATGGTTAAGTTTTGATGAATTAAACCCTTTGAGTGGATATTGTTTGTTTATATTCAAACTATTATCATCTAGGGCCTTAGCATTTAATGGCAAATTCTACAATGCAATCAATGCCTTATCAGTTTATCAGTAAATTCAAGTCTCCTCACTACTTGACATAGTAAAGTTCCGTTGGAGTAAAAGAGGGAATAGCTCCATTTAGTAACACATCATCAACAAGGTCATTTAGTAATAATTAATTAAGACATGCTAGCAATAATATTTGGGACAAAGTATCTGTGCTATTCTTAAATTTAGAACATACTGACCTGCAGCCTAAGCAAAATATCTGACGAGAGCTCTCATTTTTTATGATCTGATCATATTCTTTCTTTTCCAGGCTAAGGTCACTGGAACTTAGAGATGATTCACCCTTTTCTAGCACTTGCGGTGACGGTTCGATCTTGTGTCCTGAAATGGCTTCCATATTGGTCTTGGATGGAGTTGAAGACGACACATTGCTTGGCATCTGACAACTGATCAAAGAAGCCTTTAAAGCCTCTTGGAACTGCAATTCTTCAGCAAACTCAGCATCTAACAAAGCTAGCAAAATCTCATCTTCTGATTCATTTTGGTATAAGAAAGATGGACAGTAAGGATCATTCACATTAAGAAGATCAAAGAACGCTGGCTCTACTGCCATGTTATAATCGCAAAATCTGTGTCTTCAGCCTTGATCTTCTTCTCTCGCAAATGTGCTAGTGTCTCTCAGCATCAACTGTTTATATGTATGTCAAAAACTTACTTCTTAAGTTTTTTCTTGGGCTCCTTCCTCGAGGGTGTAACCCTTTTGGAGATGATTGACTGGCTTCACATGGCTTTTCCTAGTCAAGGAGTGTGGGATCAGGCACTGTTTTTAGCCTTCTGTCTTTTCCCTAGCATTTCGTGGAAAGAGAATTTTAGTAAGTATACATTATACGTTATTATTATTATTATTACAAAAGAAAATAAAAGGCATGGTGATTTCACAGTTCACTCTCACCCAATAGCACTATCGACTTAACTTTTTTTTTTTTTTAACCTTTTGTGTGATGAACAATCTCTCTTTTTCTTTTAATTATTCTCAATGTCACTTGATGGATTTGTGAAAATCTAAATTTGCCCTTGATTGTTTCCTTTTTAATTTTCTTTCCTATCCTCTTGCCCTCGTTTCCCTTTTTCTTTTTTTCCTTTGCATTATAAATGACCTTCCTTTTTGTTTTTAATAAATCTCAATGCTATTTAGTGGATTTGTGAAAATCCACATTTTTCTTTCACCTACTCTCTTTTTTTATTTCTCTTTTAGCTTTTTTTGATCATTTCCTTTTCTTTTCTTAATTAAGCATTTATTGCTCCAGTGATTGCATTTTTCTTCTTCTTATTTTCGTGAGAGGAGAGGAGCTTCAAGAGTAAATTATAAATCAATCCCTCTTTCATAGGAAAACAAATTAATTAGTTCATTTGATTTCAAAAACTAATTTCTGTCCTTGCTATTTTTCAATTTTCTTGACTTTTTATTTTAAGAAATAAAAAATAAAAAATAGATAAAAATATGACAAAGATTGATGACAAAAGAAGACATTTAAAAATAAATAAATTAGCATGGGTAAAAAGATTAAATAATTTTTTTTGAAATCAAAAGGATTAATTAATTCATTTCTCAAAACAAAAGGGATTGATCTATAATTTATCTATCACTATATTTAAATTTACTCGTATGAAGTAAATATATTTATCACTATATTAACATCTACTCGCATAAAATAAATATATCTATATGATTTGCTATTATTGATTAAAATTTAGTTCTTCAACTTGTCATTTCTTATTAAGATTTTCATCAAATTAATTTTTATTTTTTTAAAATATTATTTATTGATAAACATGATTTATTGTTCTCTCCGTATGGATTTTTAAATAAAATTCTACAACATGATTATTTTTTAAAAAAATAAATTTATATAATTTATATGATAGACTCTTAGAATTTTTAAATGACAATAGCATATATATATACATATATGAGAATTTGTATTATATTTTTTGAAAAAAATAATTTACAAATAAATTTCTAGTTATAAACCCATGGAGTTTTAGATTTTATTTTTAGATTATCAAAAGTTTTTAGTTAAGAATCGAATAAATAAGAATAAATCATGTTTTTTTCTTTTTTTTGTAGAAAAGTTTTGAAAAATACAACAAGTAATTAGCCAATTGCAAAATTTTAATAAAAAATAATTATTGTATTTCGATGGATTCATAATATAGCGTAAATCTTCAAATTAAAATAATTTTACATGTTCTTTTCGATCCGTAACGTACCACGGGTGAAAAACTAGTAAGAAATACTAAAAGAAAACGCATCATCATTGTAGCAGTTGCCATGGATTAAACGTAGCGGTCTTTTTTTTCGCTCACTTGATGTAGCCATTAGCCAATGCCCTCTTTTGCTGTTTTTTTTTTCCTTTCCTTTTGCTGGAGCCAAGGCCATGGGGTTGGCTTTTTGTAAACTTTAATTTTATTTTAATCCCTGTTTCGTAATCTTTTTTTTTATTATTATTAAAATTTTATTATATTTGATTTTTGTCCCTATAATAATTTTTTTTTTGGTTTTTAGTAAAAATTTATATTTTTGTTTGTTCTTATTTTATGATTTTTTTTTTTTTTGGTCATTAAAGTTTTATCGTGTTTGATTTTTATCCTTATTATACTAAAACTAAATAAAGTTTCACTACCTTAAGCTTTTTTTTTTCTTTTAGTGAAACTTTCTCTTTCTATTATAATTCTTATTTTGTGATTTTTTTCTTTCTTTTTTTTTGCCATTAAATTTAGTAGAATTTTATTTTTGTTTTAGTCCTCGTTTTGTAATATATATTTTTTAACATTAAATTTGATTTTTTCTTTGCAAGGAACTATTTTTTAATTTTAGTAAAATTTTTTGTTATGTTTTGGTTTTTATTTTGTGATCTTTCTTTTATTTTTATCATTGAAGTTTTATTATATTTGATCATTATTGTTTCTAAATTAAAATTAAATACAGCTTTCACTATTCTAAGTTTTTTTTTTAGCTTTTAGTAAAAAAACATTTTCTGTTTTGGTTCTTATTTTGTATTTTTTTTTTTTTTGTTCATTAAAATTCTATCATGTTTTACTTTTGTTATTGCCTTATGTATAATGAATTCTTTTTAGTCTTATTGTTTATAAGTTTTTTTTTGTTGCTTTTAGTGAAAGTTTTATTTATTTATTTTGATCCTTTTTTTATGATTTTTACTTTGTTTTGATTATTTAATTTTTATCATGTGTAATTTTATCTCTATTTTTTTTAGTCAAATTCTCGATTTGAATAAGTTTTTTCGTTTTTTTAATTTTAGGTGATCTCTCTATCTCATTAACAAATCACATATGAAGAATATATGGTAAAAATTAACCATGTAAAATTCAAAAAACTACCACATCATTATTTTAGTTATCGGTTATTATACATATTTCTAATAAAATACATATTTATATGAAACAATATCTAATTGTCAACTTTATATTACTCAACTTTACAGAGTTTTTGTTTTGCTAATCCTACAACAAAATATGAGATATATGTTTTGATTATTTTTTTTAAATTTTTCTCATATGACCTTTTAAATAATTATTTTTAAATTTTAAATTTATATGAATGAATATTTAAAAATATTATAAAGCTCATCTTGCAGCAACGCATGTGATATATGCTAGTAAAAAAACTAAAATAAAACCTAACACTTTATAAACAACTGTCCACAACGACACATGTCACGGTGGATTAACTACTCAAAAAACTCAACTTTTCCCATCTTCTTCGTATGCAAGTTCTTTCTTTTTCATTCTCTTTTATTTGCTGCCCTCTTCTTCTATTGTAATTGCATTTGTGCCATTGAGTGCCTTTATGTTATTACTTGTTGGCCCTTCTTTTTGTTGCTTTCCTTACACCTTTGTTTGTCCTTTATGGACATTTCCTTTTCATATTTATCAAGGCTTTTACTGCTTCCAATCTTCAATTTTCTTCTCTCTTTCTCGCCCCTTTTCCGGTTCATTTGTCTCACTTTGTTTTGTCTTTTTTGAACATTTTCTCTTCATTTTTTACATAGCATTTAACGCTTCTAATCTTGAATTTTCTTTTCCTCTTTCCCATAACATTTAAAGCGTCTAATCTTGAATTTTTTTTTTTCTTGCCTCTCATGTCCAGAATGGGTTTGTTTGTAGAGGGGCGTTTCAATTTTTTTCATTTCCATTTCCTCTTTTAAATGACTTTGGGATTAATTCTGATAAGGGAGAGAAAGAGAGAAAGCTAAATGTATGTTTTAGATAATTTGAATGAATTTTTTTAAAAAAAATAATCAGTTAAAAAAATAATTAGACTCAATTTTTAAAAAAATGATAATTAGTTAAAAAAAATTCACAAGTTATATATATATAATATCGAAATCAATTTTATATTAGTTTTTATTTAAATCTATTCACTTCGATATATTCTGTGTAATTTAAATGAATTTTTTTATATATATTATTATTTATTTTATATACTTTGAGTCTTCTAAGTACGATATATATATAGTTTTGTCATATAGAAATTCTAATGATGGAAAGAGAGAGAGCTAAAAGTGTGTTTTAGATATTTGACTTAATTTTTTTTAAAAATAATAATCAATAAAAAAAATAATTTGGCTTAATTTTTTTAAAAAATAATAGTTAGTTAAAGAAATTCATAGGTTTTATTTGGTTTATATATATATATATATATATATATATTTGTTAGAAATTAATTATATCTACACACATAACACCAATTATTTGTTATTTATTTTTTTCATGTTCTAAAATATGTATTTTTAGATGAGATAATTTAATTAATGTTTTGAAAAAACTTCTTAATTATTCAAATATAAATTTTTATACTAATATTATAAATTATTTTGTTAATAAATATATATAAATCAAACAAGTTCGCTTAAAATATAGATTCGATTTACATTAATTTTCGAAACAAAACATCTACTATATTATACCATACGAATCGTTAACCATGTTTATATAATGGTTGTCCGATCGCAATGTACCGCAAGTATCTAACTAGTTCATAAAACTAAACTAAAATGGATCGTCACTATTCATTCCCTATTTGAAACACTATTTACACACACTCAAATGCACTATTAACATACACTCAAATGCACTATTCCTTTCATTATACAATGGTATTTTTGTAGTTTTCAAATATTTATTATAAAAGTTTTTGTAACATTATACTTTACTCTCTCTTTTTTAAATATTGTTTTTTCAATCTCGCAACTATTTTTTGTTTAGTTTTGGACCCTCCTTTTTGTTTTATTTTGGTCAATTTGGTGTTTTTTTCTTTGAATTATTTTATTTTGGTCCTTTTTTCTTTGATTTTTTTATTCAAAAAATTTAAGAAAATTTTTCATAACATTACATTTTAGTCCCTTTTTAAAATATTTTTTCCAATCTGAAAATATTTTTTGTTTGGTTTTGATCCCTCTTTTTTGTTTTATTTTGATCACTTTGATCCTTTTTTTCTCCGATTTTTTAGTCAAAAAAATGTTTTAAAAAAATCATAAAATAAGTTTTTAGCCGAGAATCCATTGGTTTTGACATTCTTTATACTATTAAAATAATGTTAGTTTGTGAGTGGAGATAAATAAATAATTTTTTTAATAAAAAATTTATGAAGATATAAAAAATAGTCAATCAAATACAAAATTTTAATTAAAAAGTTATGAAATTGAATGAACTTTTATTCATTTTTATTTGATGTATTTTGATAGACGTGTAATATAACATGAGATATCAAAATAAAATAATTTTATGTATTTTATCTGACTTATAGCATAGATCGGATAAAAATTCGAGTAGTTCACTAAAAGAAAAGAGAAATAATGTCCGTTCTTTTCTCTCTTTCTTCTTTGAGGCCTGACCCATTTTTCATGTTAATCTGATTAATGGACTGTGCAAGTTCTGAGACTTAACCAATTTTTTTGTAGCGCCACTAATTAATTTGAAAATTGTTTTCACTAGAAAAAAAGAAAATCTAAAATTTAGTACGACATACTATTAACCAAAATTAAGCTACCTCACCAATTTAAGTCATAATTTTAACATACATTTGTCGCAAATGGTAAAAGAGTTGGAAAAATAGACTAAATCAAGACGACAGCTTATTCTTGATAGATACTTGTTATCGCGATTTATGAATATTTACAAGAAAACATATATATTTTTTTACTTCATTCACATGCATGTTTTATAAATATGAAATAAGCGACTAAATTTAAAATTTTTCCAACAAATGTCATTTTATAATTCGAATCCTGTATATTAATAAAAAATTCACACTGAAGTTAGTTTGTTTATTAATTACCCAACAAACTTGTTGGCATATTTCTTTTTATCATGTCAATAGAATTTGGAGAAAAATTTTTAGATATAGTAATATTCTAATAAATACTGAATTTATACACACCAACCAACCACCACCTTCACATTTTTTTAAAAAAAGGAATATTCTTGTATGGCTTATGAATAATAATAAAAAAACTAAAATAAAATAATCGGTTACCATTTGAAACATTATTCATCCAGATTCATTCGCACTATTCACTAAAATTAGGTGCACTATTCTTTTCATTATGTAGTGATATTTTTATAGTTTTCAAATATTTTAAAAATATTTATCATAAAAGTTTTCTTAACATTACATTTTGACTAATTTTTTAAAACATTATTTTTTTAGTCTGTAAATATTTTTATTTAATTTTGGTCTCTCTTTTTTGTTTTTGTTTTTTTTTTTGTCACTTTGGTCCTTTTTATAATTGATATTTTTCATTAAAAATTTTAAGGTGAAAAAATATCTAGACAAAATAATTTATAAAGTTTTTATGAAAAAATCCATTAATTTTGACATTTTTTATGCTATGATAAATTTTATAGTTTGTGGATAGAGATAAATAAATAATATTTTTTAATAAAAAAATTTATAAAAAAATATATAGAATAATCAGTTATATACAAAATTTTGATTAAAAAATAAAAAAATAAAATAAATTTTTATTCAATTTTGATTTGATATATTTTGATATATGTGCAATATAATATAGAATATCAAACTAAAATAATATTTAAAAAAAAATATGTGTTTTGTTGGATCCATGGTATAAAGCAGTTAAAAAAACTAGTTTAAACTAGAAAATTTTCACCAACAAAATTGTTATTCACTACCAATGTGAGAATTTGTTGTCTTATTCGATCGGATCCGTCTTAGAAATTTGACCTCATTTACGAATTGGTGGAATTAAATGGGAATGCAGCTTTAAATAATTTGATTAATTCATGCAAGTTCAAAATAGAATCTCAATGAAGAGAAACCGTCTTAATCTATTTTCCGTTTTTAACATTACTTAGCTTGCTTTTTTTTTTTTTTTTTCCTTCTCAAACTCGAGACGTGTACGACATTATATATATGAATCACAACAAAGAGATTCTACAATTCCTTATCACCTAATATCAATTAACCCTGATTAAAAATCTTGATACACTTGTCCAATCTTCAATCCACATCATGCAAGCAAATACATTCTTTGACTGCTAAAAGGTGGAGGCATAGATAAAAACATGTTTATCATAATTACTATTATAAATAATCTAAAAGAAGATGTAGTTTTATTAAAGCTAAACTCTGTTTATTGTAATTACTATTATAAGTAGTCTAAAAGAAGCTGTAGCTTTATTGAAGTTAAACTATGTTTACTATTGCTAATAAACCAAAAGACGTGGCCTTTTTCAACAATAATTGCTATTGCTAGATTGTTCACGCAATATTCGCAAGTGTTTTTTTTTTTCCCCACTCTCTCTCGCTTCTTAAAGCCTTTTTTTTTTCTTTTTTTTTTTTAAATTTTATGTTGCCGGTCTCTCTCTCTCTCTCTCTCTCTCTCTCTCTTTTGTTGTTTTAAGACCTTTTTAGCTTTTAATAATTTTATATTTTAGTCCCTATTTTATAAATTTTTTTAATTTTAGTCATTAAAATTTTATTATATTTAATTTTTATCTTAAACTAAAAGGCGTGACCTTTTTTTAACAAGTAATTACTATTGCTAGATTGTTCACGCACTATTCACAAGTGTTTTTTCTTTTTTAGCCGGGCTTCCCCACTCTCTCTCGCTTTTTAAACCCTCTTTTGTTTTTTTTTTTTTTAATTTTATGTTGCCGACCTTTCTCTCTCTCTCTCTCTCTCTCTCCCCTTCTTGTTGTTTTAAGCCCTTTTCAGCTTTTAATAATTTTACATTTTAATCCATATTTTATAACTTTTTTTTTTAATTTTAGTCATTAAAATTTTATTATATTTGATTTTTGTCTCAAACTAAAAGGCGTGACCTTTTTCAACGGTAATTACTATTGCTAAATTGTTCACGCACTATTCACAAGTGTTTTTTTTTTTTAGCCAGGCTTCCCCACTCTCTCACGCTTCTTAAACCCCTCTTTTGTTTTTGTTTTCTTTTTTAATTTTATGTTGCCGGCCTTTTTTTTCCTCTCTCTCTCTCCCCTACTTGTTGTTTTAAGCCCTTTTTAGCTTTTAATAATTTTACATTGTAGTCCCTATTTTATAACTTTTTTAATTTTATTCATTAAAATTTTATTATATTTGATGTCTTTACAATAAATCAAAATTTTCCCTCTTGTTGCAATTTCAAGTCTCTCTTTTGGTTTTTAGTTAATTTTATTTTTATTTTAGTCCTTATTTTGTAACTTTTTTATTTTGTTCATTAAAATTTTAGTTAACTTTTTTTTTTTTTTTTTTATGGTTTGGTTGATGTATAACCTTTTCTAATTTTATTCATTAAAATCTTATTATATTTAATTTTTATCCCTATAATAAATCAAATTTTTTTCTCTCTTGCTCAATTTTTAAGTGATTTGGTCCCATTTTTTTTTATAGTATTTTTTGTTAATTATTTTTATTATATAAAATTTACTACTTTAATTTGCCTTTTTTTTTTAAATTCCCATCCAATTTTAATTTAAAATTATATTTGCTTGACAGCTTTTGATTTATTTTTCTATATGTATGGATTTTGAAATAAATTTTTAGAACATGATTATTTTTTCTTTTGAAAAATAGATTTAGATAATTTTAAAATTGCAAGGTGATGATTAATATAAGTGTATTTCAAATAATTTTTTCTGGATTTTTTATATTATTTAAAATTTACTACATAATTTGTCATTTTTTTAAATTCTGTTTTTCTTTTAAATTTCAAACTTTGATTATATATTGATTTAGTGCCATTTTGTGTTGGTGTTTTTTGTTAATTATTTTTATTATTTAGAATTTATTGCTTTAATTTCTCATTTTTTTCTAAAAATTCTCATTCAATTAATTTAAAATTATATTTAATGACAGTTTTGATTTATTTTTCTATATGTATGGATTTTGGAATAAAATTTTAGAACATGATTATTAGTTTTTTTTGAAAAATAGATTTTGATAATTTTAAAATTATAGTTGCATGATTAATATATATATAATTTGTTTGAAATACATTTTTAGATTAAAAATGTCTTCAAAATAATTTTTTCTTGGTTTATTTATTATTTAAAATTTACTACATTAATTTGTCATTTTTTTTAACTTCTCTCTGTTTTTTTTTTTAATTTCAAACTTTGATTATATTATGATTTGCTCCCATTTTGTTTTAGTATTTTTTGTTGATTGTTTTTATTGTTCAAAATTTACTACTTTAATTTTTTATTTTTCTAAAATTCTCATCGAGTTAATTTAAAATTATATCTATTGACGAGTTTTGATTTATTTTTCTATATGTATAAATTTTGGAATAAATTTTTAGAATATGATTATTTTTTCTTTTGAAAAATAGATTTAGATAACTTTTAAATTATAGTGGCATGATTAATATATATAGTTTGTCTAAAATATATTTCTAGATTAAAAGTGTATTTTAAATAATTTTTTCTATTTTTTTAAGAAATAACTCAATTAATTAATTAATAGTTGAAAGTCAAATATATATATAAAAAAAAAGAAGGTTGCTCTCCGTGTGAGGCCTCGTATTTAAAGACTAGCTATGCATAGCATAGAAATAAAAAAATATTTAAGGAGGGAAAAAAAATTCACATGTTTTATTAATTTTTTTCTTCTTTATATAATCAAAATTAATTGAAATCAATTTTGTAATAATTTTTATTTTAGTCTATTAACTTTAAATTTAGTCAATATATTCCTTGCAAGTTAACTTCTTCTTTTTTTAGTATTTTTTGTTTTAAATTGAAAACTCCGGACTCACTTAGTATAGTTATGATATATAAAAAAATATTGAATCTTTATTTTTTTAGAAATTAACTACGCAACTACAGACTACACTAAGCATTTACTATTTATTTGTTTGTTTTTGAATATTTTAAATTACTTATTTTAAATTAAAAAATTAAAATAATGTTTTGACTTAACCACTTAATGATTCAGATTAATATAGTTTTTATTTTAATATTATTCATTTTTTTTGTAAATAAATATATAAAAATTAAATTCACATTTTTTCAAAAATCTATATTCTCATCAACATTAAATAAAAAAAATTATTTATTCAATTTTATGTAAGTTTTTAATAATTGTTAAATATGTTTTTCGACACAATCTTATGAAATACTAAAGCTTTTTTTTTTAATTACTTAATTTCTTTTTAGTTAATAGTCCATGGATTAACAAGGATAAATCATTTTCCTACGGAAAAAATTATGAAAAATACAAATAAGAAATAATTAAATACAAAATTTTTTATTAAAAACTTACAAATAGATTTTTTCACCTTTGATTTCATATATTTTTATAGTTCACACCATAAAATAGACTATAAAATTGAAATAATTTTTTAAATGATTTAATATATTTTATTCAACCCATCGCATAGCACGGGTAAAAAAACTAGTTTCTAATAAACTTTAAGTCATCTTTTAATAATTTTTTATTTAAAATGGAGTTTTTTTTTACGTATGTAACTGCAACTCTCGGCAACTAAAAAATATATCAAAATTTAAAATACTCCTTTTTTTTTAACTTTTTTCTTTTAAATACTAAAAAGTTAAAAAAAAATAAAGATATTTTAAAAGAAAGGAAACAGGTTTTGGAGGAAAAAAAAAAACAAAACCAACATCCCGTTTTGGTGCATTTTTAGTCGTTTGGGAAGTTAAAAAGATAAACAATATATAAATCATATATATTTTCACGATTAGAATGAATGAAAATCGGATTTTGCACTGATTCCGTATAATTCGAATTTTTTTATTAAGATCTTAATTTTTTTCTCGTCTAATTTAAAAGTTCTTCTCTTATATTGTTGTTATTTCAAATCTTAATATATCATGTAAGCACACGTGGCAAGCTCTAGCCAATAATTATTTGTCGTATATCATAGTGGACTTAAATTGAGTGATTGAATTAGTAATATGATAAACTCGTTATTGATTAAGATTTGAAATAACAATAACATAAGAGTAACTCTTAAATTGAATAGAAAAAAAATTTAAGATTTCAATTAAAAAAATCCAAATTATATGAGATTTCCGTACGGTAAAATCCAATGAAAATCTAATTGAAAAATTCAATTTCGTCATGGATTCACAAAAGCTTTAAATGAAGTAGGAAGGAAGATAATCAGAAGAACAAATAATGTTTTGGGCCAACTTTAACAAAACAAAGCTGAGGACAAATGAAGGCCCTAGAAGAAATGATCATGATTTGTCATGATCCTCCTTTCGATGTTAACATGCTAACAAGTTACCAACATTGACACTGGACTTGACAAGAGTGCACGTACAGAATTCTGACGAGGCACTGCAAAATGACCAAGGCCTTGCTTGATTCGTATCTACACAGCATGTTCTACCGTTAATTCCTGAGTCCTTTTGTAGGATACCTGGCCAGGTTGTGACCCCTTGGGCCTTCGCATTTAGTGATTTGATACCAGCTAGAGAGACCTCATGCACAGTACCCAGGTCAGGCTGAGACCAATTTAGATTCCTTTTCCTATGATCCTATCATTAACATTATTATCATCAGAAGCTGAAAACATGTTCCTTGCAACAAAAAAGTTCGAAACGGAGGTACAGCATATGCCTCCATCTCATCAGTTTGGGCCACATTGTGCTGTAGTGCATACTTGTTATTGTGCCCTACAGTGAAATAGGAATGATGGAGCCACATATAGATAAGTTGGGTTCAGAAGGTAAGACAATCCTAAGCTACGGAGATTGATGTGGATGAAAGTCCTAAATACAAGATGTTATGTAAATTCAATACGGCAATTTAGCATGCAGAAGTAAGGAGGCAACATCCTTTGTGAAGGCTTGGAGGCAAAATCTCTAAAAGGTTTACAGAATGTTAAATCCGATATATAAACTCGTTATCTCTAACGGGTATACGGCAATATACCCGTTATTGTGCCCTACGAGTGAAATAGGAATGATGGAGCCATAGATAGATAAGTTGGGTTCGAAGGTAAGACAATCCTAAAGCTACGGAGATTGACGTGGATGAAAGTCCTAAATATAAGATATTATGTAAATTCAATACGGCAATTTAGCGTGCGAAGTAAGGAGGCAACGTCCTTTGTGGAGGCTTGGAGGCAAAATCTCTAAAAGGTTTACGGAATGTTAAATCCGATGTATAAACCTCGTTATAGTTTTTTTTTTTTTTAAACTCTAGTAATTATTATTATAAATAATCTAAAAGAAAATCTAATTTTATTGAAGTCAAACTCCACTACAATGAATTAAAACAGTATCGCTTTGAGCCTTACTTGGCTTAAAACAACATCGTTTTCTAAAAAAATGTTTTTTTTTTTTTTTTGTCATTTTATCCATTTTTAACTTATTGGTTCTTTAGTTATACCTTTATGCAAAACAGCATCTTAACTTAACTATTATTGCAGAAAGGTCCTTGTGTTTCTATTTCTGGGCTGTTCTTCCAGCCCAGCGCATGGGCCTGGTTGTCTCCAGGACAGCCCAGCCTAACCTAGCCTCTTTTCTTTATTTTCTTTTTTAAGTTTTTTTCATTATTTATTATTTACTCAAAATATTTTTTAATGATTTTTTTATTATTTATAATTTAATAAAATAAAAAATTTCTCCATAAGTAATAGTTATTATTATTATTTTATAGACTCATTAACTAAAATTAAACACTCTTTTAATATAAATTGATTTAGCTAATTTTATTTTTTTAAAATAAATAATTAATTGCATGTTTTATTTTTTTCAAAATAAATGATATTTCTAGGATATATTTAAACTCAATTATGGCATATATATTTTATTAAATATTACATAATATATATTAAACTAAAAAAATTCTCACAATTAGCGTTAATTAATTTTTATTTTACACAGATTTTTAAATTATTTAAAATATTAAAAAAATTAATGATTACTTTTTTTTTTACAGACTCATTAATGAAAAAGTAAAAAAATCTTTTAATATAAATTGATTTAGCACATTCTTTTAATTTGATTTTTAAAAATAATTAATTAATTATATGTTTTTTTTATTGATCAAAATAAAAAAAATTCTTAGGATGTGTTTAAGCTCAATTATGAAATATATATATATATACTGCATAATAAATATTAAATTAAACAAATTCTTACCATTAGTGTTATTTAATTTTTATTTTACAAGATTTTTTATTTTTTGAAATAATAAAACATATTATATAGATTTATTCGTGGCAACAAACGGATACTGTGCTAGTAATTGCTAATTAAACATCTAACAACAAGCTAATGAGCTGCAGCTTACCTCATTTTTCTCCCAAGAGGTATCCAGTTCGAACCTAAGAAAACATCTAAGAACAATACATACAATTGCCACAATTCTCCAGAGAACTTTGATACAAGTTCTAGGCATATTTGTAGCCACAAATTTACTTATCCCGCGACACAATAATTTACAACTTAATATAAATATAATTGATATTTAGCAATGCAGGTGGCCACAGTGCATTTCTCTGCATGTTAACATCCTAAAATGCAAAGAAATTGTGCTGCTTACAGACTGGTGATAGATAGGAAGGTGCTCAGGACTTCAACCTCATGAATGCTTGAAGCCTTTGTCTTTCAGCAGGTAAGGTAAGCTCCTGATCAGTCACAGGATCATAATCATTGTTCTTGCGTTCTGGTTCAAAGAAACTCTCTAGATTGACCTCTTCCTCTTTCTTGCGTTCGTCTTGTCCTCCTTGTTCTTCTACTAGCTTGCCTGTCTCAGCTACGTACTTCCTAACTCTGTAGCAAGAAATGATGGGATGAAAAGAACCCTACTGAGAGATGCCAGTTATATTTTGCTATAAAGATGCCAGTTCTATACCTGTATATGTCATCCAGTTTATTTGAAGGACTTCCATTGGATTCATGAGCATTTTCATGCTCCTCCTCCTCCTTTGGGCTCTCAAGATCCACTTCCTTTTTATCTCTGTCTTCAAGAATAATCTTCATTTGGTCCTTGAAAAATTGTTCTTGAAAATCCATCTTAGTAAAAGAATTGCTATGGTCAGTCAAGTTAGATGAAGGACATCTAGAGATTATGAAATTAAAATCATGCAAACAAAACAGGTCCAAGAAATGAGAAGCTACACCTCTAGCAACTAGAAACCGTGTCAGGAATAAGGAATTAACTCTCATCATACTTTTCATGGACAGTAATGATTGTTTAACTACAGAATTATCAGAAAAGGCACGTACCGCGTCAAGTTTTGATGGATGCAGATTTTTTAATAGTGGCAAAAAATGCTTACATTAACCAAGACATATTACCTCTTCCGTAAGCATTTGGAAACTATTACCTCTTCCATGTTCTGTTCATGCTGCAATTTGATTTGCTCTCTCAAAACATCAATTTCATTCATTGCCTTTTGCAGCCTCTTCCGCATGACGCCATTTGATTCTTCAAGAAGTTTTGCTTGCCTTTCTCGTTCAGCTACCCTGTTGTTCAGCCATATAAGCTGGTGATTGTCCTCGCTCATTTGCCTGATTCTGTTCACAACCATCGCTTGGTATGATCTGATTTCATATTTCAGCTGACCTACAGACCAATTACACAGCATGTTATCATATGATCGTTGGCAGAAATCTTTTTAAGGGGATTATATTAAAAAAGAGTTAATTTCAAGCAGAAAAAACCTCTTGAATACTTGTTGAAGTGATCCACATCTTCTTTCTCTGCAATGTAACCGTAAAGTTGGTGCTCCCCGCTTGGTAGGAGGTAGACTGGACTTTTATTCCAAACCTTTCTACCAGTTCCTTGATCTGCAAAATATTTATCGAGGCGCTCTGCCTCTAAATAGCCTCTTGCTGAGCTCTCAAAAATCAAAATACTCATCCCGCAATGTCCATCCAAATTGTATGCTTGTTGAGCCATCTCAATAGCATCATATGAGCTGAACATGTCAAGCAGTTCTTGATTTGTCATGCCAACCCACTGAAATTTAATTTGATACAAGCAAAAACTTGATTAGATCATAATCAGCAATATTATTTCAAATACAATACACAAAATATACTATTGTCATCATTAATGGCCATATCTGAGGGAGAAAACATGATCATACCTTATTGTTCTCATCTTTTTTAAGGCTTTTTGTATTCCAGACAACAACCATTGGAGGCCAAACGATCTCATGATCTTTCTTCTCATCTTTTAGACCTTTCCATTCACTCAACACTTCACCAGCAGGACTGTCAGAAGCTCCCTTACTTCTAAACGTCTCTTCCAACAGCTGTGCGAATTCCACGTGGAATTTGGCCCCTTTTCCTCCTGTGGTTTTGGCATGTGATATCAAGGCCTGCAGGCCTTGGTAACATTTGGCGGCACCAGAAACAGCTTGGCATACAGGACAGTATAACTGCACCGTAGGTTCATTGACATCCTCAGGTGCCAATTCCTTGAACAATCTGCTCTTCTTGTTGTCATCCAAAACGTCAGAGTCATCATGATCATCAAGAGCAGCAGTAACATTATTCTGAATATCATTTGCAACTCTTTCTTGGCCAGCTTCCGAATCCTTTCTCGGAGTAGAACTAGAATCAACACCTCCTCGCCCATTCCTTATTTGTCCCACAGGTAGGCATTCTACAGCTTGTGCAGCAATGTTCCTGAAATATCTGGAGGTTGGTCGTGGGCCTCCGTTTACTCTGCCAACCGGCGATTCAAAATTAACATTAAGTGGAATGTCTGAATTCTGATCCACACCTTTATCTTCCTGGGCGTTAGTATTGGGACTCTGTGGAGTAGTCTCCTGTTTTGCAGCAATGATTTCAGCCATTTTCCTATAGCCATCTTGTGCTGAATTGAGACTAATAATCCTTTCTGCACCATGACTGACTGGTCGTTTTTCAGTCTTGGGTGTTGGATTATCATTACTGCCACTGGTATCAGCAGTGAGAGACTTGCCAGTGTCATTTCTAGAACTCATGTCCATACTCAAGTAGTCTTTGCTGCACGGTTGTTTTTTCGACTGTTCGATAGTTTTGCTGTAGAGTTGTTGTAAGTAAAAAATGAGTCAAATTTTAAAAAACAGCAGTTTGTGAAACAAATCTTAGTAATTAAGCAATGACAAACTTTTCTGTTATTTAAAAATGTTACTGATTTGATATGAAAATTTTAAGCAACACTCTTCTAAAATTCATTTCTAAAGTCTGATCGGAAAGTAGAAACTTGTAGCAATATATTGAAATGTTATGGTTAAGTTTTGATGAATTAAACCCTTTGAGTAGATATTGTTTGTTTATATTCAAACTATTATCATCTAGGACCTTAGCACTTAATGGCAAATTCTACAATGCAATCAATACCTTATCAGTTTATCAGTAAATTCAAGTTTCCTCGCTACTTGACATAGTGAAGTTCCATTGGAGTAAAAGAGGGAATAGCTCCATTTAGTAACACATCATCAACAAGCTCATATAGTAATAATTAATAAAGACATGCTAGCAATAATATTTGGGACAAAGTGTACATGCTCTTCTTAAATTTAGAACATACTGACCTGCAGCCTAAGCAAAGTATCTGACGAGAGCTCTCGGTTTTTATGATCTGATCATATTCTTTCCTTTCCAGGCAAATGTCAGAGGAACTTAGAGATGATTCACCCTTTTCAAGCACTTGCGGTGACGGTTCGATCTTGTGTCCTGAAATGGCTTCCATATTGGTCTTGGATGGAGTTGAAGACGACACATTGCTTGGCATCTGACAACTGATCAAAGAAGCCTTTAAAGCCTCTTGGAACTGCAATTCTTCAGCAAACTCAGCATCTAACAAAGCTAGCAAAATCTCATCTTCTGATTCATTTTGGTATAAGAAAGATGGACAGTAAGGATCATTCACATTAAGAAGATCAAAGAACGCTGGCTCTACTGCCATGTTATATTCGCAAAATCTGTGTCTTCAGCCTTGATCTTCTTCTCTCGCAAATGTGCTAGTGTCTCTCAGCATCAACTGTTTAAATATCTGTCAAAAACTTGCTTCGGAAGTTGTTTCTTGGGCTCCTTCCTCGAGGGTGTAACCCTTTTGGAGCTATTATTAACTGGCTTCACATGGCTTTTCCTAGTCAAGGAGTGTGGGGTCAGGCACTTTTTTAACCTTCTGTCTTTTCCCTATCATTTCGTGGAAAGAGAATTTTAGTAACAGTTCACTGAAACAAAAGGAAAAAAAAAAAAAAAGTCCGATCATTTCTCCTCTTTCTTCTTTGAGGCTCGACCCATTTTTTCATATTAATCTGGTTGATATGAAAATTGTTTTTGACTGTGTATGTTCTGAGACTTTAACAAGTTTTTTTGGAGTATCACTAATTAATGTGAAAATTGTTTTCACTAGAAAAAGGAAAATCTAAAATTTGGTGCGACGCATGAAGACAACCACTAATTAATCATATGTTTCCAAAGAGGATGAATTTGGATCAACAAAGCCAAAATCCAAGGATTCATGCATCAAAAGTTTGTTTCATCTACCTAAAAACAGAATAAATTGTACAGAATTGTGTTAAAAACTATATTTTATCCCCTAAAAATAACTATATATATTTTTGGTCCTTCTAATATATTTCTTGTCCCAATTTCATCCCTTGACTACTGATTTCTATAATCTAGTCATTTTCTCAATTAACGTATCAAATGGAAGGATATCATATTATAAAATATAATTACAAGAAGATGAAAGTGATAACCAAAACACGTTCTTCATCCATATCGTGCAAAAAAGATTATTCTTTTTGCTATAAAAAGAGTAAGGAGATCGAAGAAAAATAAAGTTGAAAGTGGAGGGACCAATTGCACCGTTAGCCCCTGCAGAATCGTTGGAATTTTGCAATTGGGTAAGAATGTGAACCGATGGGTCTTCTGCTTTAGGATTTTAGAAAGCAAAAGATGGCTTTACAAAATGTACTATCGTACATTGATCAACGAAAAGACACAACACTGAGCCCTAGGTCAAGTCAAGAAAAGGTTAAAGAGCCAAACACCAGCAGTTTCCAATGAGAGGAGACTTCTTCTAAGCTAAGTCACGTCTAAAGTGATGCCACCTTCCAATTCTATATTATAAACCATAGAGTGATTGCTTCAGTATAGAGTTACTCGAGAGTACTAATCTATTATAACATGGCACAGGAATCCCTCTCCCCTTCTGATCTTGATTTTGTTGATGATTTTTACTTCTCAGCACTGTTTGGTGAAGACCAAGAAGGAGAAGAAGAGGAAGGAGGAGGAGAAGGAGGAGGAGGGGGAGAAAACTTTGAAGTATCAGATGCCAAATATGCCGAAGGGTTGCAATTTCAGGAGGCTTTGATGGGTTCCGTCATCATTTCTCAAATGAAAAACATTGGCCCAGCGCCGATGATGATAGAAGGAACCCAAGTAGTGCTACGTATTTCTGATCAGCCTACGTCTATGGAGATCATCGATGTAGAAGCTGGTGAGTCTTCTTTGAGTTTCTGTGAGATTTGTGCTGAGAGAAAAGAGAGTGATCAAATGTTCAAAACCGAGAGTTGTGTTCATTCATTTTGCAACGACTGCATAAGCAGACATGTGGCTACTAAGGTCCAGGATAGCTTTAGAATAGTTACTTGCCCTGGATTGAATTGTAGGGCTGTCCTTGAATTGGACGCCTGCAGGCCAGTACTGACTAGGGGAGTGATTGATCTTTGGGAGGAGGCATTATGTGAAGAGGTGATAGATGCATCACAAAGGTTTTATTGTCCATTCAAGGATTGTTCAGCTTTGTTGGTTGATGACAACGAAGGAGAAGCAATTAGAGAATCTGAGTGCCCCTTCTGCCATAGATTGTTCTGTGCTCAGTGTTATGTGCCCTGGCATTCTGGGATTGAATGTGAGGAGTTTCTGAGGCTGAATGAAGATGAAAGAGGGAAAGAAGATCTCATGGTGAGGGAACTTGCCAAGGACAAGAAATGGGGTAGGTGTCCTCAGTGCAAGTTCTATGTTGAAAGAACAGAAGGCTGTCCTCACATGGTCTGCAGGTTCGTTTGTCTTTTGTTGTCATTACAATTCAAACCTTTTTTATTACTACAGAATTTTTTTCCTTAATTGCTAGAGTTTCTTTCATCAAGTATTGGAAAGCATCAAATTGAAAGTTATATCATGAAAGTGTCTTTTACTCACTGCTAATTCCAGCCAAACATTGCCTCAAACTTCAATAAAAAACTAAATTTAGTTAGTGCATTGGAGTTTGTTTTTTAAGATGTGATAATAATTGCAGGTGTAAGTTTGAGTTTTGCTACGGATGTGGAGCACAATGGGGTCAGAGTCATGGTGGATGCAGTAGGGATTGAGAGGCAGCACCAAATCTTAGAGACTGGAGAGGTGACATACAACCATCATGGTGTGAAGTTAAAACTACTAGGAAGTTGTCTTTTTTCAGTTATTTGGCAACAAGTTGTGTCTAGGAATCAAGCTACTAGTGTTGCTATGCTATTTGCAATGGTCTTGACTGCAAACTGTATTTAGAAAATATTAATGCTCTTTGGGACTGCTTCTTTTTGTTTCACTCTGTTCTTTTTTTCACTTTTCCTTGGTAAGTTTGCCCATCAATGCTATTTGCAAATTAAGTAAATTTTGACAACTTTAATGCCATAGCTTTAACCATATATATTAGCTGTTGAAAAATTACTTTCATTTATAATTCTGTAATGACAGCCTAAAAGGTTGATTTCGGAGGAGTATATATATTAGCTGTTGAAAAATTAAGTTTTTTTTAATTATCTGATAAGATTAGTGCTGCATGGCCCGAAACAAGAGCACGAAAAAGACACAAACTCTCGTAATGGTAGAGATTTGTAATTTTATACAATTTTTTTTTTAAAAAAAACATCTTTTTGTGTCCATTCGGTCCTGATCCATTTGTGAAATGATGAGCTTTCATCTGATAACACTTAGAATTTCCGTCACAGTCAACCATGTATTGATGTTTCTCGACTGAAATCGGTGAGTGAAGGCAGTGGCGAAAGGAACTGTACATGTCTCATGTCTATAGAACCTTACTGAGATTGACCCAAATGCCTGTTAGCACAAAAGAAAATAGGAAAAACAAAATATAATGCATTAAATGAAGGCTGGCCAGAAGCCAACTTGGAAAGCTGGACCCCATACACAAGCACGCACTGTTGTTATCTGAAAGTTTTTGGACACAGAGGATACAAAAGCAATCAATCAGACATGATTTATGGTCAGTTACACTTGTGGCGCCAAATAACTGAACCACACCCATAAAACCAGCAAACCCCAATCTCTCATCGATAGCGACAACAACAGCTGATGGCTCTCTTCAATACCCCATCATCATCTCTTTTGAAGGCACAAGCTTTCTTTACTAATCCCAAGAAAATTTCACCTTTCTTGATCACTGTTTCTTGCTCAAAATCACCACCAGAGCCAACATCATCACCATCTCCTGTTGATGATAGTGGTGGAAATGAAAGGCCACAGAAGAGATTATCACAGCAATCATCATGGGAAGCTAAGGATTCAGAGGGAAAAGACTATCTGTACAGGCTAGGAAAAGAAGCTGATAACATGAATATTGCAGTTGGAGCTAGGGCTGGTGTTGTTGATTCTCTTTTTGCTGGCAATTTTCTTGGCAAAGACTGTATGTTTCTTGTTTTCTTAGATTTAGCTTCACTTAATTTCCATTGAAAATTAATTCATGTTCTTTATTTTGTTGTGTGTGTTCATAATTGCAGCTGATATTGTGTTTGATTACCGTCAAAAAGTGACAAGGTCATTTGAGTATCTTAAAGGCGATTATTACATTTCTCCTTTGTTCCTGGTAATTCCCGTTATGCTCTATGTCTTCTCTTTTGTGTTTGTCTGTGGTTAGTTCATTTGGGTATTTCTTGGTCATTACAAGAAATGATAAAAATCGTGGTTTACATTTCAGTTTATCTTTGTGCAAATGAGAACTACTGTTTCTGTTTGATGTCTTGACTTCCAATGGAAATTGTGCTTGCTGTATGAAGCGAGATAAAATTTCTGATGCGGTGGACTTTTAAGCCAAACTAAGCTCTAATGATCGTAACTGACATTGTTATTGGAGTCAATCAAGTGACTTGTGGAATATTGCCACCCTGTTGTATTTGTTTGTATTTTTCGTTTCTTGAAGACTTGTCATTCATTGTTGTTGCCATCACCATCTTTTGTTTGATGCTTTCGCTTTTGGATGAAAATTATGAAGATGTGCTGGATTTTGAGCCAAAGGGAGTTCTAATTATCCCTTCCAGCCACTAAAGCACTGAAAATTAGCTCACATTACTACATTTAGACCAATGCCCCTTTAGCTCTTGCCCTAGTGGAAAGAAAAGACTGAGGTTGATTGAGGTTTTATTTTTTAATGTTAAATATCAAGAGAAAATTCTTGTTTTTTAAACTGGGCTAAACTCTCTCAACTCTGCTTGCAACTGACATTGTTGTTGGAGTTAACAAACAAGTGACGTGGAATATTGTCACCCCAGAGTATTTGTATGTATTGCCCATTTGTTGGAAACTTAGCATTCATTATTCCTGTACTAGGCTTGGCTCTCAACGAGTCCCAAAAAAAAAAGAAGAAGAAGAAGAAGAAGAAGAAGAAGAGGAAGAAGAAATATATCAGCTGAAATTACTTTCTTTTTCGTATTTTTCTTTTCCTCTTTGATTGCTATATATCATGAAGCTCATACATTCATTGGCTTTTTTTTTGTCTTTGCTTTGATTGTGACAGGATAAAGTTGGTAAGTACTGTAGATTTGAGCAAAGTTGAAGAAACTATGATGAACTATGTTGCAGTAAGAAAAGTTGGTGGAAATGAAATTACTGGTTGTGTGCCTGTCTTATTTGTGATTTCAGTGTTTGATATGGATCAGTTCATTTGCCAACTGTTATATGTCTACAGATTTGAAAGAATGGGGAAATGATAAATTTTATATGATTCTGTTTCTTTGCCTTCTTTTAAGCCAAATTGTAAGTGAAATACATGCCAAAAGACAGATGAGAGCAGCATAAGATATACATTCGAAAGACAATAAAATGTTGTTAATCTTTGTATTATTTGTTGCTGATATTATATAATATTGGTGATAGTCGTGTAAAATTTGCATCTGTAAGATACGTTGGGATTCATGTTTATGGTTCTGGCATAGTCGAACTGGTGGGTTTTGTGATTTTCAGTTAGGGTTTCCATTTGCATCTAATATTAATGACACAAGTTATTAAAGGATAATAGATGATTTTAAGGGTGCATATAGAGATTACATGTTTGGTGAATAACTTGTTATCCACTAGTGTACGTCCTTTTATGCTTTATATAACTTTTTGATGCACTCAATAACCAGAAATACTACTGACTTTCTTCCACACATGCTCTGCTTTTAATGCAGTGTGCCACATTGTGAAGAACTACCTAGCTCATCTTCTCAATGTCAAAGTTCCTTTGATCCTAGGTATCTTTCAGCATTTTTTTTTTTCAATCGTCAAGGTTTTGGAGAAAGAGTAATGCTGGTTATGGTGTGTCCATAGTTACCGGTATTCATTGTTCATGTTTTATTCCCATGTTAACCTAGAAATATATCTTAGAAAAACATGCTTAACTTATGCTAAAATCTTATATTCTTAAACATATTTCCATGAAAAAATATTTTTCAACTCTGAGGATGGAATGCATATATATTGAACTGAGTTTCTGGTTGAAGCATTCTACTCTGAAAGCTATTGCGGGTGTGCATGTTCGTAGTGGGCTGACTACATAACTCTAATGCAATACTATATGATTGAATATAATATGAGCATTAACGTTTTTGACAGGTATTTGGGGAGGAAAAGGGCAAGGAAAATCATTTCAGACCGAACTTATTTTTCAAACCATGGGAGTTGAACCTGTAATTATGTCTGCAGGAGAATTGGAATCAGAAAAAGCTGGTAAGATAGTTTTCTACCTTGCTTTAGATAGATATGATGTACAAACATACTTTTGGGTGTGGACATCTTGCTAAATTCTAATGCCTAATAGCTTTCGACCTTTCCCTTTTTAAAAGATTTAGCTCTTAGCAAACACAATCCATACACAATGGTGGAATTGAAGATATTAATCAAAACAATGGGAGCAAGAATTAGTAGTTGGCTGCAAATGAGAAATTTGGAGAGATAGAATGATGCTGTGTGGAAGAGTGACACACACACACACACACACACACACACACAGAATTTATATGTTTATATTTAACCACATCCCATTTTTACAACAGGCCATGCTAATTAACTCTTTTCCCCTCTCACAGGAGAACCTGGAAAATTGATCAGAGAACGCTATAGAACTGCTTCCCAAGTGGTCCAGAACCAAGTTAGAAGCTTTATCACTCTCACTGTTGGTATATGTATGTATAGGGATTTGAAGTTAATCGAATTGTTATATATGATTCACGCTATGATATTTATTCTCCTTTGCTTCTGCAGTTGATGCTTTGGTCTCATAATCTACTCCTTTTTCCATTTTGAGTACATTGACATACTGTTACAGGAACCTGCGATTTTCAATTTTATTATGAGTCTAGATTGAGTTCCCTGTACATATGAGTATAAAGTGGAAAATGAGTAAGATGAAAACTCAACTTTCTTGCATATTTGTCAAACAAGCTTTGATCTCTATCAGCTGAAATCGGCTCAGTTTCTTTCATATGGATGTATGGGAGATGACCTCTGGGTTTATAAGCCTTCTGATATGTTCTAGTTTATTGTTTTTCTCGGGCCAAGATGGTACTTAGGTGCTGTTTGTTTTGCTGCCGAATGACTGGGCAGGTTTTTCTCTCCTTTTCTTTCTGGGCGTTGCCAAACTGCGTTAAATATGGTCAACCTTTTGTTTTGAACCACTGGCAGAAGTTTCTTGTTGTTCCTTATCATCATCTTTTAGTCATTAATATAATTTATCAGCTTTTCGTTAAATAATACAGGGAAAGATGAGTTGTCTGATGATCAATGACCTTGATGCTGGCCTTGGTAGATTTGGTAAGCCACAGCCTGCACTTAGATCTGGACTTGAGATTTTGAACCGAATTATATGATTTTAGCAAACAATATTTAATTTTTTTTCGTCCATTATATTTTTAGCACGTCCAGTTTTGCAATCTTTTGACACAACATTTCAAAATTTTCACTCTTTCGCAATTCTCTTATTGTAAAATGTTATGACCATTTTGTGTACTTTTATAGGAAATACTCAAATGACAGTCAACAATCAGATTGTTGTGGGCACCCTAATGAATTTGTCAGATAATCCTACTAGGGTTAGTATTGGACAAGATTGGTGAGAATCAGATGTAACAAACAGAATTCCTATTATTGCTACTGGAAATGACTTTTCAACAATTTATGCTCCCTTGATTCGTGATGGAAGGATGGAAAAATTTTACTGGTATATGACTCATTCAGTAATCTTAATGGTTTTCTATGGCACCGGTCAGTTGTAAATTTATATTTTGCTAGCTCTCCTTTGCGCGTTTTGCCAATGAAATAGCAAGACACATCTGGAAAAGCACCAGTTTATATCCTTCTGTCAGTTTCATTGTCGTCACACACACACACAAGTGCATTCACATGCACATACACAATGTGCTTATAGATAGACATGTCTCGTACATTATATGTATTGTGGATGTTTTAGGAATTCATTGATACACAATTCAGTTAGTAGCTGTTTAATGTGGTGAACACACTCCTACATTCTGGCACACACTGGTTGCATAATGCACCTGCATTACACATACTGCTGCTTTCTTTTTCTAGTGATCTTGAGGTTTTTGGAATACAGAGATTTAGTGGAGGTGGTTGAGCTGCATCGTTCACATCAGAAGTATTTGTTTATGTTGCAGGCAGCCTAACCGAGAAGATATTGTAAATATTGTTCACAGAATGTATGAGAAGGATGGCATATCCAGAGATGAGGTTTTGAGCATTGTGAACACATTTTCTAATCAAGGTACCCTTTTCTTGATGGATTCCATGGTTTAAAAAAAAAATGTATTAGACATAAAAGGTGCACGATTTGACTTCTTTAGTTTATCTCCTCTTTCATCTTCTTTTGCAGCTTTGGATTTCTATGGAGCTCTTAGGTCCCGAACATATGACAGGTCAATTTCTAAGGTGGGGACTTTTATTTGATGTATGGAAAGCTTGCATCTATTCACTGCTTCAATGAATTGTAGGATAAGAAGTTTTATAAAATGTTTTATTATGCTAAATTTTCAAGTAGTGCTATTAAGTGAAGTAAGTGAAATTTCAAAAGCAGTTCCTCAAAAGTCTGGACACTACACTCTTCCATCTAGGTTTTCTCCATCTGCCTCAAGTTTTCAATGCTTTTGTTTCTAGAGACATGTTTTGGAAAATTCCATGTGGAGGAGCAGATATGTTTTATTTGATTTGAGCCTGTGAAAAATATACAAAACACACCATATTTGGAAGAGGATAATGAGGTAACAAAATCATGCGAAGAGCAACAGTTCGTAAGAGGGGAAAACAAATGGAGAAGTGAATGTGAGAATGTGCATGTATGGAACAAAGAATGAAAGAATTTCTGGCAATGAGAAGGCCAGGTTGGAAATGAGTGGGAAAGAATGTAATCCAACTTACCTGATGTTAAGGACCGTGGAAGGTTGAGCTGAAAGCTACCTTTTGATGAGCATATTAGTGAGTCCATGAGAAAGGTTCTGCTTCCGCATCACATTGAAGTCCTGTTTAATCACCAAAACTGGGGTACAACATTCTGCTTTTATTATCTGTTTTCCTTCTTTTGCCATTGGTGAGTGTTTTCTGGCCCTCCATAGCCTAGATGGGAAAGTGGCTTGAGGGTATTAGGTCACTGTGAAATGTTGATATTAAGATTGCTTTCGAGACAGAAATCTGGGGAGGTATTAAAGGGATAAAATGGAGGAAGGAGTCGAGGAAGGGGGAATTTGTCATGTTGTTTACATGCTACAAAAAAAAAAAGGCATGAACTTATTTTTTGTATTAAAAAATAAAACCCCGCTTATTATGATATTTAATGTAATTCTATTTTCTACTTTGATTTCCATTGCAGTGGGTCGAAGATATTGGAGGTATTGAAAATCTTGGTAAACAACTTCTGAAGCGAAAAAGGATGAGAAACTCCGTGTGTTTACTCCCCCAGAGGTAGTGTATATGAATCATAACTCTGCTTTTTCAGTCTTTTATTTACCCCACAAAATATTTAACAATAATGAGGGCCATTAAAGTACTGATAATTAATCTTTAAGCTGGATAAACTTGCATTTAGTTCCTACTCTATTTCTCTGTTTTTCACCACTTCTCTATCTTTCTCGTTAACCATGAAGGCGTGAAATAGTTCTTCCGTGTGTTGCAGCAAACGGTGGAGGCTTTGCTTGAATCAGGCTACTCTCTCATAAGAGAGCAGCAGCTGATTATGGAGACTAAACTTTCAAAGGAATACATGAAGAATATTGATGACTAGAAAGTAGGACGGAAATTGCAGAATCTGAATTTAGAAAAGATAAGAATGGATGAACTCTTCTTTCGGCCTGCTTCTTTTCCAGGAATGGACTTTTATATCAGATGAGTTGAAAAAGATGTTGCATACTCATTTTGCTATTAGTTTCCTCTTAACTTCCTTGTAAAGTCTGGCCCAGCCATGATTCAGGCAAATTTCTTAACTTTTTGAAAACAAGAAAAAGCTCAATAGTCAAAATGATCGCAGAAAATGATTTGTATACTCTAATGTTCCGAAAAACCATAGCCGATCATTTTATAAATCTTAATATTAATTTTGAATCCAGTGATCTATATCAGGTTATAGTAAGTAGTTAAGTTGTCATCCAGAGCATGTGTTAAGGAAAATGACCAAATATGAAACACAGAAATATGAGACTAAAAAAAACAAAGAAAGAAACCATCTTCTGTTTATATTTTGATTTTTATATCATCCATGTCTGGAACATAATGGACATCGCCTAAATTTTCTGAGAATACAGCAAGGATTTTTATTCTTTATTTTTCTTTATATTCAATAGCCAATGGCCGCGTCAGAGAGTGAAGAGCTCAAATCATATATTCCTTCCTATCCATTTTGCCTTTTAGGTTTTTAGTGATATGCGTATGTATGTATATCCGAATGCACAAAAAAGCACAAACCTTCAATTCCCAGAAAGCATCAACTGTCTCTTCTAATGCCTTTTTGTTCAAAAACGCAAGAAGTTGATTTTAGAATAATCTAAATGTTTCAAGACATTTACCTAAAGCATCTTTGAATGTTTGAGGAACTTCCATGCTTGTGTCAACCATGATTTAACCAAAGACAAATCATCCATAACATAGCTAGTCAATTGTTTTCAACACAAGCAAATCTTCTAGAGAAAGTGTGTTCTAACATTATATTCTTTGATCAGTTTTAGTGATAAGAACAATCCATATTATCCACAAATCATAGAATCCAATGCTTAATTTAGCTTAGGGAGGGGCTAAAACTTGTCAACTCTCACCCACTCAAACAGTTGCATCAGAAAACATTCAGTACTTTCGTTTAAAAGCAAAGGTCACCAATGAATTTGTCACTTCGGATATTCCTAGAGCCCCATCTCTTATTGTCCATATTAGTGCGCCATGGGATGGCATGTAAAGGTTAACTTGCTGTAGAAAAACAAAACCAAAAGAGAGAGGGACAAGCACTAAGGGTGTTTCTTATCTTCTCTTATTGGTTTTGAATTTGGAAAATGAGCCGCAAAGTATGTGTGAGAGAAGAATCACCATCACCATGAGTGATAATTTTGTAAAGGAAAAATGGGAGAGGAGGGTTGAAATAGTAGGGTTTTCAAATAAATATGGTTGGTTGAGATGACATACTTCGAACAAGCACATATCGTTTGGTGCTTTACGTTGCAATTGCGATAAAAGCATTCTGTCTTCATGGTGCTCAAAATTGCCTATATTAAAAATGCTCCATTTTGCTGAACATCATTCTATCAAGGAATAAACCCAACTTGAAAAAAAGTAACGATGATGTTAAATTGACTCAATTCTACACCATTCTTTAATTCCCAACAATTTACATTTCTCAACCTTTATTTCTTTTATATTCTCAAGTATATTTATAGATTTTTTTAAAACCATATTATATCTAGACATATTAATTTCGGAATTTGATGAGAGCTCATAGTGTTTTCTAATAAGACACCTAAGAATCCACTAAAATTAAAATTTTCAAAAAATTAATCCAAAAATGATACTTGAATTTAAGCCTCACGTTTCTCGACTTTTTGTCTTTTGTTCTCTTGTTTCCACGGTAATGTGAAAGAATACATTTCTCAACCTTTATTTCTTCCAAGATCGCACGTTTTTTTGGATTTAGTCAAAGGAAAAAACCAATTTTTGTAGTATTTTCATTCGAATTTCCAAATATCAACTTACACAAAAGAGTCATACGTTGTTGAAACACATATAGTAATCATTTTAAATCATTCACGTAACGATTTAAATGGTGAGCCAGCTTATCATTTAGCTTAATCATAGAATAAATCAAATAAATTAAAATTAATACATTAATATTCCTGTTTTTTTTCCCCTTGTAAGTTGTGGTATCTTTTCACATAGATGGACAAATTAAATTAATCTCCCTTGCGTGGTGCTCTATCGTGTAATTGGAGATATATTGATATATAAATCAAAATGACAGAGAAAAAAAAGGCATAAATTAAACAAATTACAGTTGTAATTAATTTTTTTTGACAATTCTATCACTTGGAATATGAATCCAAAAGGAGCCTGAAAAAAAGAAAAAAAAAAAAAAAAAGAAAGAGCTTATTTTATAGATTCATTAACCTGTTTCTATAAACCGGATGATAAAACCGGTTCTTGGTGCACGAGAATAGCCTGAGGTTCTGACCACTGAGAAAAAGAAAAATACAAACAAGTAAAGATCAAATGACGAATTGATTTTTTATGATGAGCGAAGGCTAGCACAAAAACAATCGAATCAAAAAATAAAATGACAAACTGATTTTTATCGTTGGGACATGTGGGCCCCCGAAACAGTAAGAATAAAATGATAAAAAAATACAATTGATTCAAAAAAAAAAAAAAAAAAAAACTGGCCTTTTGGTCCTCACGTTGAATTGAATATCATGATGATTATAATTCGACAATTTTCATTCTAGATCATGATCATTTAGCATCCCCGGAGATGTTCCCTCTAATATTTTTAACAATTGATTTCAAATTAGAAGGAGTACTACTTTTCTTAGATTTCAAAAACAAAATGGGTAAAGAGTGGAGTAAATTATAAATTAGTCCTTCATTTTTTTTGAAAAATGAATGAATTAATTTTTTTTGTTTTAAAAATTAATTATTTAGTCTTTTATATTTTAATTTCATCAATAACTTTTTTTAATTAAATTAGAGATTTTTTTCCAAATTATCATTTTTTTTTAATGTCTTATTTCTCTATTTCATTTACTCTATTTCTTTCTTTTCAATTGAATATAAAAGAAAGGCAATTTGGGAGTAAAAATCACTTATCTAATGAAAAATTATGAAAAACTAAATTATTAAGGGAATCAAAACATGAGGGACTAAATAATTAATTTTTGAAAATAAAAAGACTAATTAATTCATTTCTCTAAACAAGAGGGACTAATATTTAATCTACTTTTAAAGAGTGAGATTAATAAAGGTTAAATAAAGGTGAGGGGACGTATGGACCACGTAGGATTAACAATAAGCATTATGCTGATTAGGATTAATTAGGTGAAGAGATGGACTATATAATATTCCAGATTATGATAAATCTAAAATTATATCACCCACCACTGTCCATCATTGTTTTCACCTACTTGGACTTGACAAAACAAACACATGAGTCAGATGGCAATTATTTACTCCTAATTCATTCATGTCTTTGGAATGGGTCATCCATCTCGTGTTTTTGAGGGCTAGCTTCCAAAGGATGTGATATCTTACTTAGCAACAAGAAAATTGTTTTGATCAAATCAAAACAAAAGTTTAATTCTTATCGTTTATGGATACTTAAATATAATTATTTAATTATTTTTAGTAATATGAGATTTAAACTTATTTATTTTTAAAAGGGAGCTCATTAATTTATTAGAAATAAAACATTTAGTTTAGAAAATAATAAATTTAATATCGATTAATATGAAAACTAACTAAAAGATATCATGCTATCTGCGTATATCAAAAAAAAAAGAAAAAAAAATCAAGTAGCTAGCTAGAAGGACAATTATTTGTTTTGTAAGTTTTAAATCAAAATTTGAAGAATAGCATGGTAAGAAAAATATTAAGAAAAATAATACAAGATTATAATTATATATGTAACACTTTGAAAATTACTAATAATAATAATAATTATTATTAATCTCTTTAGTCAGCTTTGACTATAAAATTATAATAGAATTTATACACTGTTTTCTTTACTTGTTTTAGTATAATTCGATCGATTTTTATATGAGGTGTAAATCTTTATATAGATTGAAATTCGATTAAAATTCTATTTTTTAACCTAGTAAGAAATTAATTTTCACAAATTTCTTAGTTCTGATGTTAATTTATTGTACCACTACGTGTATATATATGGATCACTCTTAATTCTTACTTCAAATTATTTTTTTTAAAAAAAAAACTGATGGAAGCAGATTATGTAGAGATGAAAACGAAATCCTTTCGTTCTAAAAAGAAAAAATAAAATCTTTAATTAACAACTACATGAGAATATTTTGAAAAAGTTAGGTCAAGTTTTGGAAACACAAAACAGGGGACAAAATGAAGCAGAAAATAAAGAACACAAGAAGAAATAAAGGGAAAACAGACAAATGGTTTCCAATTTTGAAAAGGAAAGAAAGAAAAGTGGGTCAGTAAAAAGGGATCCTATGAAAATAACTATATGGCGAAACGTGAGTGGAGCCACGTCATTTTCAAATTAAGCTTAAGGTGACAAATCTTTTTCGCACCATATCCATACACACCTTCGTTAGCCACGTGGACTAGAAAGTTGCCGACACTGCTCCTTTTTTTTTGGGTTTTTAAAATTACATAAAGCCAATACTTTGTGTTTAATTATTGTTCCTTGGCTTTCGTTTTTTTTTTTTTTTTTTGGAAAAAAGTAGATTATCACTCTATTCCTATATTTTAAGAAACTATAATATTCTTTAAACAAAAAAAGTAACTAGTAAGTTGTTTATCAAAAAAAAAAAAAAGAAACTAATAAATCGGTCCTTGGGTTTTGTGAATTAATCATATGTTGGCCCCTTAAGCAGCTCTGGGCATTAGCTTGTTATTTATTTGTTTGTTATTTTTCAACTGATATCTAAAGTGACATTTCAACATCCTACCTAGGGTTCTTATAACCATGGTTAATTCCTTCACGCTTCATTTGCAACGTTCATAATGCTATATATTCAATTCCCTTTCTTCGTTATTTTATTTACCGTTTCTTTACTGTCCTTTTATAATGGTTTAAGTCACCAATATTATCTCTGATTGCTTGAGGCATGGGAAGTCGTTACGTCTCTAACAATTTAATAAGATTAATATTTTTGCTTATCCTTACATAATATATTAATTTTTTAATATATTTTTAAATTTTAAAATATCTCCAATTTGTTCTTATCTGGTTTTTAATATATCATTTCCCTTAAAATTTTTTACTAATTTTAACATGTGATTTGTACATGATATACAGGTTAAGTCACCAATATTATCTCTTATTGCTTGAAGCATGGGAAGTCATTGTGTCTCCTTAACAATTTAATAAGATTAATATTCTCACTTATTCTTAGCGTAATATGCTAATTTTTTAATATATTCTTTAATTTTAAAATACCTCCAATCTCTCCTTATCTGATTTTTAATATATTACTTCAATTAAAATTTTTTACTAAATTAAACATATGATTTGCACATGATATATGATTTGATAAAATTATTTTTATTATTTGACACAAATGATCTATATCTAGTAATATAAAAATTAATTTATGATGAATTGATAAATTTTTTTTACTAGAATAATAGATTACAAATCAATTTAAAATATAAAAACAGATTATAAACCTTTAAAAATTTAAAGATAGATTGAAAAATTGATCTAGTATATAATGATAGGTAAGAGTATTAACTCCAATTTGATATGGCTAAGTTCCAGTTTCTTAAGAGTGAAATATCACTCAATTCCTATATTTTAAGAAGCTATATTATTCTTAAAAAAAAGTAACTAATAAATTGTTTATCAAAAAAAAAAAGAAACTAATATATCGTTCCTCGGGGTTTGTAAATTAATCCTATGTTGACCCCTTAAGCAGCTTTGAGCATTACCTTGTTATTTTTTTATTTGTTACTTTTGAATTGATATCTAAAACGACATTTCAACATCCTAGCTATGGTTCTTATAACCATGGCTAATCCCTTCATGTTTCACTTGCATATTCAATTCCTTTTTTTTATTTATCGTTTCTTTATTTTCTTTTTTAGTATAAATTTATTTTTTATATTAGATTAATTTTTGATGAATTGATTAAAAATTTTAATAAAAAAGATAAATTAAAAATCAGTTCAAAATAAAAAAAGAGCTTATAGATAAATTAGAAAATTGATCTATCATACAAGGAGAGGTAAGAGTATTAGCTCCAATTTGACATGGCTGCGTTCTAGTTTCTTAAAAATGAGGGACTAAGTTATAATTTACAATTTTCAGCGTATACTGTTCCTTCACATCGATTCATTCAAATTGTCAAACTGCCCTCTGCAGAGGACCCAATTGGACTTTTCACTCAAAATTTGACACGTTTCAATGCTCAAGTCAAATTGGTTAACCAGTCAATCATATAAGCCCCAAAAAATCCACACAACTTGTGCCCCATCCTGCTTTTTTAATTATTCATTAGCAAAGAACATAGAACAGGTTTACCAGGACAGGTAAGTTGGATTACTTTAAGAAATATCTTTACCGTGTCGGCTATGCCAATTTTTTTTTTATATATTATATATATATATATATATAATGAAATGATTTAACTTCTACAGCCTTTTCACGTATTCTTATTCTATCTTTAGCAGTTTTATTCTTAGAGACCTTATTTACGTATTAAAGGCGGTGCATGTTCCAAGCATTTATCAGTATGTTCACACTGAACTTTTCAAACATTATCTATTAGTCAATTAAGTACGTTTTTACTTTTCTTTAATTTTTTGGATTAAAATTTTAATTTGGTATTTAAGAAAATCTATTGAATGATCTGAACGCATTAGATCAAAATAGAATATATATTTTTAAGAATGTCTAAAGAGAGAATTTATTTGAAAAATTGACTGGAAAAAAAATTAATATCAATATATAAAAGTTGGTTTGAAAATATGTAATCGTCACAAAAAAATATTCAACAAAGTTTGCTACTATCAAAAAGGGCTAAAGGCTAAATTGCAAGATATTTCACGAACCTGAGCTAAAAAATAAATATTTTTTTAATTTAAAAATCTTTTACTTTACCTCCTAAACAATATAATTTTTTTTAAAATTTGTCCCTTTTATTAAGATTTCAATGAAAAATTGATAGAAAAACCTTTTAAAATCTTCTCAACTTCTCTCTTTTATCTTTTTGTAAACATGTCGTTTCTAAATCGGTAGAGAAAATAATAAAAATTAGAAGGATTTTTATGAGATTTTTCGTCAAATTTTCAACAAAACCCTTATGAAAACTATACATTCAAAAAATTATACTGTTTAAAGTGTAAAAAAAAAGAAAATCAGTTCAAAGATATTTGTTCTTCACTCAAGTTCAGAAGAGTGCCTTACAATTTAGCCCCTAATAAAAGAACCGTTTTTAAACTGTTAGATAGGTACGAAATTTGAAATCAAAACGTTTAAGAGAATGGGAAGAAAATTTGAAATCAAAACGTTTAAAAGAATGGAGCCCACATGAAGATATAATGATGATGAGGTATGACTAGACTAGTGTTTTCTCCTTTTTTTTTTTTTTGGTTGTTAATATATATATTTTTTAAAAATATAAATAAATATGTGTGCTGATTTGCAATTAGGCCAAGTGCTTCACCTACATGTGGAATGCCGTCACCTGTCGGTGCACGTTGATAATTACACGTACTATATATAACTTTGGTAAATAGGGTGCTAAAGCTCGGCTGATATTCTTCTGAGAAAGCTCTCAAAGCCAAACCTCTCTCTGTCTCTCTCCTCAGAAAGAGTGTGTGTGTGTGTGGTGATTGTTGAAAGTGAAAAAATAAAAATAAAGAGAGAAAGAGAGTGAAAGGTCTGGCAGGGTTAAAGGGCATAGCTGTGAGAGTTGTTGGTGGGGCTAGAAGGAGAAGGAAAGCAAAGACGAAGAAAATTAAGGTTCCAGATAGTTTGATGGAATTTTGGCACAAGATGATCTTTCCTGCGAGAAGAGTTTGGCTTGCTCTTTCTTCTCGTGTTAAAGCTCGCAAAAATGGTCAGTACTCTCTTCTTTTTTACTCTTAATTATTTTTCCACTTATTCTCTCGTAATCTGCAGCTTCTTCTTCGTTTGCTTCCTTTTTTTTTTTTTTTAATTATTTGCGATATATATATATATATATATATATATATATATATATATATATATTTTCTTTTTCTGGTTATCCTTCCTGTGCTTTGATGATTTAGCATTCAAAGATTTCTTGACATTTTACAATTTTTTTTTGTCACGTCACTGAATTGAGAAATCTACGCATATTTGTCGAGAATATAAAGGCAAAAGAGCCTAAATTTTCTTATAAAAAAAGGCTAATTAAATGTTTGGAAATAAATTTTCCAGATGCATGATTAGTATTGGTAGTGGTGATTTTTGACAACATAATCAACTTAACCATAAAAAAAGTAGTCAGTGATGAGGGGCAAGATTTTATCGTTAATTGAATTTCATTAGTAGCTCACAGGTGCTAGAAAGAAAACTTGTTCATGAATTATTTTTATGCTTGATTTTTTTTTCCCATTTTTGTCAAGGTTTTGGATTGAAGATTCCATTTGTGACGGATACATCCACTTGAAGACAATCTGAAACTGTTTCAACAACACAGAATTGCCCAAGCAAGCAATTATTCTATCATAATTTAACAAGAATCCTCTCATCCCTGAAAATCAGAATAAAATGCCAATTTGGAAAAGCCTAAAAATGTGTGTTAGGTAGTGACCAGAACACGTTAAGTACATCTAAGCTTTCCAACGATTAAACTAAACTAATAATAACACAAGTCGAAGTTTCTTAATTCGTCTTTTTTTTCTTTTCAAAGAAAAAATGTGAAATTAGAAACATGAAAAAGACACTAATTTGAAGTTTCTTCTTTAACAATTTTTGTTTTTTTTTTTCCCTTAATATGAATTATTTGTCAAAAAGTGGGGAGCTCGAAAGAATTTTTTTTAAAAAAAATTGCATATCAATTAATCATGACGTTCTCCTTTTAATAAAATTATTATCAATCTAAATATAACATTCGTTACAAGAAGATTTTTAATCTATAAAATTATTTTTTATCCAATTATGTATACTATGAAATAAAGGCTGTATAGCTCGAAAGATTCTCTTAACGATCGACTGGCTGTAGCCACCAGGATCAATCCGCTCGAAGACAGATAAAAAAAGGATGAAGCTTCAAATTCAGAAGTCATTGCTACCGTCAAAATGACGAGGAATTGCTAACTGGCTTGTTTCTTCTACTTGCCACCTAATAGAAAAATTCTATATCAAATGCTGGAGATCCAATGGTCTGTTAACAACATAAACAAACATACAAATATCTTATGGAAAACATCATCAACTGAAAGATGAGGTCTGACGATAGGATCAGCATCATTTTAATGCTTAGGTCACTTCAGAAATGTCCTTTTGGTGCTGTGAGTTAGGCTAGGAGTTAGGACCACCAGTAGTGAGACAAGAAATTCTGATGCAACACAAACTTCAAAATAGTCTTATTATATACCAACCACTCAGGGGGCATCGATGAGTAATGTCATTTAATTTTTATTTGTTATTGGGCCACAACTTCATTTATGATACCTTTTCAGCAGTAGAAAATACATGTATTCAATAGAAAATTACTCACAAAGTTTTTTCTCCTCTGTTTTGAGCAGGTGCTGGTATTCTGAAGCTTCACAATGATGTACAGACCTGTGGATATGAAGATGTGCAAGTGATGTGGGAAATGCTGAGGAGATCGGAATCGGAGCTGATAGCTAGTCATCCAAAGCGCAAGCAACGGCCTTTTTGGAGAGTTTTTGTATGGTCTAACGCTAACCAGAGTGCGGCCTCATCCTTCTCTGCAAATCACTCCTGATGCAAGGACTCCTGCTTGATTGCTATGTTAAGAATAATATGCTGCCTTTGGCTTGCAACTTGACATGGGTATTCATAGTTTTACCATCCAACGGCCGTCATTGCAGTAGCATGGTACAGAGCTGTTGAAGGGGTATCCAAGTCACTACAATAATAAGTATGTGTCAAGTTCTCCTTATTGTGAGTAAACAAGTAACTATCATTACATCATATGCCTTCTGTAAATCCACAACGTTTTGTCGTAACCCACATCCGTAAATGAAATAACTTCCCCCAATGAGCTTCAGTATACTCATCGGTGTACTCTGCAGTAACCACAAGCAATGTCAGGAAAGAAGGGTATTGTGGTAGAACCAAGCAACAATGCAATGTGAGAAAGTTGGCAACTAGGTCCCCTATACATGGAAAAATTTGCCACTGATAATTCAACAATGAATGACGGTATTTAAACTGCTAGAGATTCTAACAATTCATATATCATAGAAGGGGGCTGGGGAATGCCAAAACACAGGCACTGACATCATGGACAAACCAGAGAGCTTTTCGACTTTCTGGTTGTATTTATGGAAGTAATTTGTATCATGCTCCATATTCCATATACAGTCCTGATTCAGGACTCCTGAAGAAGAAACTTTAGATAGAATCATATATAGAGAAATGGAAACGATCAGTTTCTAGTAAAGCTAATGTTATCATTACCATGTTCCCGAATGGAATTTCACTTTCTGAAGAATATCATTTTCCTCTCAACAGGAAAGATGCTAACCGAGTAACTTTAACGCCAAGGAATTCTGAAAGAAATCATATCTTTCTTGGGACGTTCCATCTATCTCCATCAATGAAATGTCAAAGGGCGAGGCGAAAGAAAATAATAAGATGCCTACAACGGATATTATTAGTTTAAAATGGCTTAAGCTTCTGGGTCAAATTCTTGAAATTTTTGCACAAGCTATTATGTCATGTCACTGTGAGTGGTGAGAAAATTTTTCCTACGCTGAGCACTTAAAGAAAGCACAAATGGGTAATGCAAAAAATAATCGCGTATGGGTTCCATGGTTTTGTTGATTGCTACAAATCATTTTCAAAGAATGATTGGTGCTTATCTTCTACAATGACAATATGATCTATTAGATATGAAGTAACAAATGCTGGCGAACAATATTTCATGAGTTAAAAATACATATTTTCACTTCAATGTTTGAGTCAGAAAAGTCCAACATGAACTGTAAGACAGGCGTCGGAAGTCCTTTTTGTGGGCTCCCCATCCATAGCCCATCAATGCGTCTTTAATAGACAATAACTCCGAACAAGAGTGTTATCAAATGGAAACCATTTTGCAGTCTACATATCAGAAAGCCCATTTCCACGAGAAAAGCTACAGACAATAATTGGTAAAATTTTCTGATGGCACTATGCTCACACCAGTCTTGTACAAGTTTCAGCTTCAGGGAGTTAGCACTCAAAATTCAAACGCATGGACACCTTGTGGATGCATTGTACTGTGCATTCACATCTTAGAGAGAGAGAGAGAGAGTTGAACACACTTCTCTAATCATGAAAAAAACCAAAGATGGTTGAATCAACGAGAAATCCAAAGGTTGGAGACTGTTGGACAATAAGCTCAGATTTTAGGAGCTCCAAGCACTTCAACCCAAATTTATTCTTTACTTACTCATATTCAGTCGATCAATATTCAAAATGTAATAAGAAACCATCACAGAGGAAGAATGGTCAGGAAAAAGCATATCTACATAATAAGGTCCACTATCATTCTAAACTATAATGGCCCAAAATTGAATCAATGCCTCCTGATTATTAAGACCTTTCACTCCATTGCCACAGTGTTATGTTTGTAATTTTGTATCTGATCATAGTGAACTCTGCCAAGGTTCATTTCCATGCATCATTCTGGGTGTGTGCGTGCACATATGCATGCATGCTTGTGTTCTCCCCATTGGGGTTGGAACCCCAATGTGCAACAACTTCAATCCATGGCAAGCAAGAATAAGTAGGTTTCAAGTATCTATATATCAAGATTAGAAAAACATGATTCCAACAGCTGATCCAACAGAATGCCATCAAGGAGATAGATATGCCTATAAAACTTGGATAGAAAGACATACCAGAACCAAGGATAACACAAGAGACAATTCAAGGAAACACCTCCCATCATCATCCACTTAAAAAGGACGAACATATATGCTCTGCAATGAGTCAAAACTTTGCACCCCTGGATGTTAGAATATGTAATGCCAGCTGCATTCTCCACAATTAAAATTACTTTATAATGATAATCGGCATGCTGACTAATACTTTCAATACCATATGTTCATGGGACCTTTAGGAACACTTCGCTGCAAACAAACTCCTATGGCTGACAATGATTATGATTGATGATGATAAATTAATCTAAAGAAAATGACAATAATATATAACAATGCATAACAATACGACATTTTCTTCCTTTTCATGTGGTAGAGCTTATCACCAGCGTTCGAATGAATAATATGTTTCTTTCCGGCCAGATGACAACACCAGGTATGGGCGAGTATTGGTCCAGTAAAACAGCGTCATTGGATGGTTGACCTATATTAATGCCTAAGCTTCAGCCTTTCTCTATGAAGTGGCCGTATCAAAACTCTACTCTTTGTACTTCCACTTCTTACAACCAACCAAAAGGTATTCTAAACAAAATTTAAGACCAAGTAACTTTCTACCGCATAATTGATATCCCCCAAATGGTTCACCGGAGTTAGACCCTTTTTTTTTTTTTTTTGTCCTTATTAGTAAAAATGTTAGGTTATACCACACCAGTCCACTCCTGTGCAAGATGACAGACAGAAATGAAGAAACTTCAGGATCGTAATTCAGGAAACGAGTAGTACTTAAGAGTTTTGATGTGTGTGTCCATGAGTGCATATTTTAGTGTCAAATGCCAAAAAGAAACAATTTTATGTTTGTTCAAAGTGGAGTTTAAGCCAACAATTAAATTCATGGTTCATATTAAAATCAGCAAGAACAATCAGCAATAGGTAACGTGTTAATATTCAAGACCCCAACAATTCTACTGTAGAGAATACATGTACAGGAACTTTTACAACGCACAGTTTTTTTACCTTCCTAACAAGCTAGAAAAATTATTCCTGCAAAACTGTTTCTAAAAATTTCTCTCAAACTTTAAATTACAGAAAAGCAGAAAAACTATGCTAAGAATACAACAGAGCAACCAAGCAAGGGCATTCTTTTCTTTGAGTACCTTTTGATTGGTTGCTGTAAAACGTGGTACGCTGGATGAAGAGAAGCTCTAAAGCAGAAGAAGCTTTTGCTCTGATTCAAATTTATCTAGTTGGAGGCAGAATTGTATGACAAGAGCAGGAAACTAATTCACAAAGCTATGAAAGGAGTTGACTGCAACATTGTTAACCAAGCATACATGTCAATCTGCTCCTTTGGACCAACCATCAAATTAATCACACCCCAAACAAACAATTTCGCAGGACTTTATTCTTCTGATTGGTGCGTGCATATTTTCTCCAGTAGCAGGGGCCAGTCTTCTCCAAGCTGCTGTGGGTTAAGCTCCATTGCAACCTTGAAATCCAGTAATGATATCGGGAAGTGGGATTGCATTCCATCCAAAATCTTATTGCTACTTTGCATCTGAAAATGATGGCCTGGCAGAAAGCCATTAACAAGCTTCCCCTCAGAATGGTTCTTCTGGAGATTATTGTTTGTCGAATCACATCCACACCTTGTATTAATGAGTTCGATGCAGGACTTGATCAACCTTTTTAAGTAAGCATCCAAGCCGCTGCTCAGCAAATTGGCAGAGTCCATCGATACACCATCAAGGCCATGCGCTGCAACAATCTGCTGCATTCTTTCTCTCAGCGTCTGTGCATCCAGCAATCCACCCCTATGACACAAGCTAGCAAATCTATCATTGCTTGCTAAAGTCAAAGGCCTACGGGAGCCACCTGCACTTACAGTGCAAAATGGAATTCCAAGTGGTGCCTGAAGTGGAGTTACAGTAGATATCTCAGATGTCTCACTCTGTTCTTTACTATGTACAGAAACTAAACCATCTGTTGAAAGCTTTATTAGTGCTAATTTTGCAGGGCGGTGAAGGAAAACTTCCCCTCCTTGATGATGCTGCACCAACTTCTGTATTCCATCTTCTGAGGCTATATTATCATCTGAAACTATTGACTGATGAGAAGCAAAATCTGCTTTCCCATTTGGATAATAGCAGGACCCATCACTTGCAGATGTGGGAACCTCCTTATCATGACTTGGCAGCAGCAGCGGTGGCGGGACAGTGGCATTACAAGCATTTTTCAAAATCGAACGGATAAATTGATTATGTAACAGTACATTATCTTTCCCAATAACACGAACACAGAGCTTATTAAACTCAACCTTGCTCAGCTTCAAACTTAAAAATTTATTCAAATAATAGAAGTACAACTTCGACCTCTCTGCCCCAATTCTCTTCACTATCTGAACTTTCAACTCCGCGAGATTTACCCGCGGCTGCTGAGTTGAGGATTGCATTTCTCTCACCACATAGTCAACGACAAAAAAAAAAAAAAAAAAAAAAAAACAAAAGACTAGCAAAAATCGCTGTTCCACCCAAAACCCCCAACTAAATTAGGGTTATCTCACTGGACTTCCAAAATCCCATTTTCCACAACCCTAAAAGAAAAACTCCATTGACTTCAACAAAACCCATCAATGCCATTATAAAACACATCTTCTAAGCACAATTAAGACTACAGACCCTAAAAAAGACTACACCTTTCCCTCCCAAAACTTAAATTTCACAAAATAAAGCCAAACCCTAGTCATATTAACACCCAAACTTCACAACCAAACAAACCCTTCATTGCTTTTACCAAAAATTTAAGAACTTTCAATGTAAGTCTATCAAAAACCCCTTCTTTTTTCAAGGAGAAGCCATCAATTTCAACTTTTTGGAGACCACCCAGTAAAGCTGAAGGGCTTAAAATAATGGGTTTTTCCGAATGAATGCAATACAATAGAGAGACTCAAGAGAAGTGAGATTCTAGAGAGAGAAAGCTTTTGTCTGGTGTCTGACCTTGTTTAGAGCTGGGAAATATTTCAGATTCCGAGAGAAATCAAATTCGGTGTAATAGTAGTAGTAGCAGGAACAGCAGCAGCTAGCTTCCTTCGTTCTCTCTCGCACTAAACTATGAAGTGCTGGATTGCCTTCATAATTCTTTGCTTTCACTTTCTCTCTCTAGAATTCACGCATTTTTTGGGACTTCAATTCAATCCATTTTGATGTTTTTCTTTCTCTGTCTAATTTTTTGTGTTAGTGTTTTGTGGGTTTTTCAGTGACATCTTTAAAATTTTAATTCTATTAATTAATGAACTGAAAAATCTCACAATTCAGCATTACTAATAAACTAATAAACCTCACCGTTTTGGATCCCATCTCTTATTTCACACGCAGGGGCACGGCCTTTCAGTTTCTTGCCCAAGACCAGCCATTTTGTGGATTAATGTTTTCTTAGCGGTAAAAAGGTTCACTTTGCCACCGATAAGTCTTTTTCCTCGTTACATTTTAAATAGCTTGCTCACTTCCTTGTCTTTATGACAAATTTTTTTTCTTACATCCTAATCCTAATACTTAAGGGCTTGGATTTTGTCGTACTAAGAATATGATTTACCCCACTAAAATTGTTCGATCTGACTACTGAGAATTGAAGATTGATACCAAGAGATCATTACCAATAAACTAGAGGCATGTTGATATTGTTTTTTTGATCTTTGAGTCTGATGATAAGCAGCATCATCCATCTTTATGCTAGAAAGTTTGTCAAAAGTTAATTCCTAATCTTATGTCCATTTTTTCCTTTAAAGTATACGAATATTGCATGGATATGAAAAGATGAAATTCTCTTATAAATCACACTTTCAGATTACATTTATCATTTTCCCTGTTGAAAAATAGAGATCGATAATTATAAACTTAAACAAGGCATAATTAGGCATTATAGTGATAGATGGAAATGTTTTTGCATTTTCTTTGTACCGGAAAATATTGATACGTTTTTCAATTCAAATATTTTACCTACGGTCTTAATATTTTGATGATCTACTGTAAGTAATCGATTCTTTACAGCAACTTTCACCTGTATAGTTCATACGTTACATCGATCCTGCACAAAATCTCATATCGGACTGTCAAAACTCTAAAGAATACCATACTCAATTCCTAAATCAATTTTGATGGCAGTATGGAAGGTTAACGTACAAAGTCATCCCCAAAGCCAACTTTACTTCGACAAAGGCAGCAGTGAGCAGACTATTATAATTGTATTGGTTGGAGATTGCTCTCAACAAAAAGTATATGCGACTCGGAATCAATTGCTAAACAGATTTGTAGCTAATCATTTTGCAGAAAGGTGCTCGCTAACAGTGCTTGTTATCTGGATGGTGGCTTCATTGCTACATATGTCAAGAAAATCAACAGATCATAGAAGCAGTTCATAGTTGGGTTCATATATATCAAAGGCTAGACCAAAGACCAAAAACCTTTTCATGTTTGCTTTCATGTAACATGTATTAAAATGGAAAAGTGTAGACTCTAATGAGTTTAGAGCGAAAGAAGAAGAAGGTTCACAGTATCTGAATTCTGAAACCAACTCAGGCAAAACTAGAATTCTGCTACTTAAATTGCGAAGAGTTGATATTTCTTTATAAAATCGTCAGAATTTCATTAAATATAACAAATTCAACTAAAACAATTGCAATCATTTGAAAAAAAAAAAAAAAGAGTAAAAAGAATAGGATGAAACCTAGAAACTTTCAGATGCTTTCCTTCTCTTCTTCCACCCATTCGTTTTACTTTCAGTAGAAGTCAACGAAGTTGACAAAATACACATTAGATATCTTCACAACTGACTTTGTTTACTTATCCTTTGAACCCTGCCTCCAAAAATCCTGGCAAGAATCCAAGGGAAGCACTAAATGCATGATGCCAAAAGAGCACCTGCAAAAATTTCTTTATAACTATCAGACTAAATAAATTCACAAACAAGAACAGGAGCACAATTCTAGAATATCCTACAAAAAAAAAAATTGAGGAAAATATAATAGTCAGGATTGACAAAGATGCAAAATCAACTTTATAAATCCATATCTTTCAATTATTTTTTTGCTATACAAAACATGCCAAATACAATAGTCAAAATTGCTCTTGGAGACTAACTTGAGCACTCAAAAGACATGCACAAGAATGCATCAATACGTAAACAGAGTGAGATCTGCAAAATGCTCACACTTCAAAATTGGGGGAACAGGTATAAACTTTACACCTAAGATCAGTGAATCCCTTTATGTTCAGGGTATTGAGATGCTCAAGTTTGCACATGGAATCTCCCTTTCTTAACATTATTGCTTCTCAAGAAACGATACTCAAACCAGATTAAATGCTTCAATTTTAAGTTTTGGCTTCAGTTAAGTACCTGTAAACAGATGCATCATGCAAACCCAAACTTCTCACTCATGAACACCCTTTGTGGATCAAGTTGTCCACTGCAGTAACTGGAAGGAACAGCAGAGAGCTCCTGCCTTCCTCTCCACTCTTCACCAGGTTTCAAAGTAATTGGCTTTTCCACACAAGCAGCCTCTACACACAGCATATGCTTGTACTCGTCATCACCAAGATCAGGTATTGTCTTTGCTTTCTTATCCCAGGGATTCCAAACCACTGCAGGAGAAGGTAACTGCACTTATACTGACTGAAAGCATTCGAAGTTTGTACAGAAAACTTGTGGTGTCCTACATTCACTTAATCAGTTCGGGTTCATCCACAACTGACCAAAATGGGACTGTCACTTAAAACAAAGATTATGGAAACCTAACAGTTTATGGAAAACTCGTGGTGTCCTATATTCACTCAGAACAGAAGAATGCTGCCATTTAATGATGTCAATACTACAGTTTATGGAAACCTAACAAGGGATTTCTAAAAAAATGCAATTAGAGCACTCCTCCACATTGACCCTTGAATGACAAAATCTAAATAAAATTTCAACTACAAGCTCCATTAGAAGAACATTTGCTTTTGACATATGAACATATGACAATAGCAGCTCATGCTGCAAGAGAAAACTGTTTATATATTTCCAAATCTTAATGGAGTCTCTATAACATCAGTTGCTAGCAGCCTAGCATAAAGATATGCATGCAAACAAAGTTTTCACTCACCAGCATCAGGAAGTCCGTCTTTTCGCAATTCAAATGTTCTCTTCCTTTCATGGTCCAGGATAGCAATTTTGGTAGGCGTGCTCAGATATACTTTGTCCACCTTCATAAAAGAAAAGAACTAAGTAACACAGAATATTTGTATAAATAGAAGCTGAAAGGATACTAAAAACAATCAGCTTTTCTTTCAAATACAGATACTAACTTCTGATTCAAAGATTATTGCATCTCCTTGTTCAGTGAATCGCTCTCTGTTCTTCAGATTGTCCAAATAATCTAGTGTTTCTACTCCTTCTACTCGCACTTCACTAGACAAAAGCAACACTTCACTAAATCAATAATGAATTCAAAACACAAAGATGGAAACAATATATTCTATCACAGAGAGACCAAAAATACGACTTCGTTCAATTCGGCATTTCTACTCAAAATGTTGATTTACAAAGAAAAAAGATAAAAGATTAGTATACAAATAAAAAAAAATAAAAACATCGTTGCAAAATAAGTGAAAACCCAATAAACGACTTTACTTAAAAAAGGCTCCAAATAAAGCAGCAATAAATAAATCTTGTCATAGGACCTGATATCCGTAACATGAAAATATGTGTGGTATGCAAATGTAAACGTGAATGATTTCCCATCAGTGTTTGTATTTCGAATGCGTGAGGTCAACATCAAATCTCCTCCGGGCCCCAGAGTTATACGTAGGCGAAATTCATATCTGCAAATAATTTGCAAGTTTCAGCATAACTTAACTGGCAATTAGAAGAACTGGCAGCCCAAAAATACAAAGATGCAAATATCTTAATGTCAAAATATTTCTATCAGTTAATATTACAAAGCATAAAACGATAAAAGTTCCAATTGCACACCATACGACTATATCATATCTATTACTGTAAAACTTGATCCAACTTCAGCAAAAAATTTACATTACACACCAATTTATCTTTATCTGCTTTTGTTTTTTTGAGAGGGAAACTCAAATAATTTGCTTCAAGTGTTGTTTAAGTAATGCATGACATGACAGGTTGAACTGTATATTTGAGTCACGCACCTGTGAGGCCAGATCTTCACATCTTCTTCAGAGTGCTTAAGTATTAAGTCGATGAAGGCCTTGCTGGAGCTATTTGTTGGGAAAGGAGGGGGTCATTATCAATGGTCCAAAACCTGGTCCTTGCAAATCCATGTGATTCGAGAGAACCAAGATTGCTGAACTGCACAAGCAAATTAATTTGTTTTGAAAGAATAATTTAAATGGAAAAACATGATTGGTAAACATAAGAGACGGACATACTTGAGGAAAGCAGATAGGAATACCTCCACGAATAGCCTTTGGAGGCTTAAAAATAGCCTGCACAAACAACCAATATAGTTTACAAGAAAGAATGCATTAGCCAAACCCAGGCATAAGAAATGAATATGACATATGACCGGTGGCCATCATGTTTGAGTTGTGTATCCATCTGAAGTAGAAGATGGATAAAATTGCAATTTATCAATCTCTGAAGCTTACATGATGTCAAACCCCACTAAAAGAAGCAATCAAATTAATATAAATAATGAGGAGAACATGAAATAGGATGTCTGAGTTTTAATTCGTCATAACAATTTTAAGTAAGAAATTGAGGACATTAATGAAACTGAACAGTAAGATTCTTTGTCTACATAATCTAGGAGACTTGCTTTCCTATTGATTTCTCCTTTACAACTACCTTATTCTAATTGTTTGGAAACATCTTCTTCATATACCTTTATTTTTCTATGGTAGAATCTAAGAGATCTAAGCTAAAAAAGCTCTAACCGACTAACCTGTCAAAAGGTAACATTAAAGTTTCAAAGCTAAATATTCTTCAAAGTGGAATTAATTCTTTGAATTTTTAGAATAATGAAGTGCATTTTTCCTAGGAGTCTTTGGTCAAAGGTTTCATGCATTTTAGGTCTTCTAGGTTGAATATTCATTAAAGAATTGATGTACTGTCTCTAGAATAATCCTAGATTTTTTATATAAATAAGAGAGGTCATGGCTATTATGTATTTCAAGTCAGAAGACTTACCCTCTACGAAGAGTGAAATATTAGGATTTGTTTCCACCATGTTTCCATGGTCCTATGCTATAAATCCTACATTAAACCCTTCATTGTTTGTATCAAGATGATATATTAAACTGTTATGCTCAAATAAATTTACGGTTACTCCTTCAGTGGATGGCAAATGGAGTCATATATACATATGACTTGGTTATAAGACAAATTATCACCTTATAGTTATATTACCATCAATCTCACTACAAAGTTGCAAACACTCTCCAGCACAACCATGTTTTCACGAAATGAATTTTTGAAGCAACTTCACTAATAATTCAACAACATAAGCATATGGACACTTTCTTATATTCTGTACTTTATCAACAAGAAGACAATGTTAAGCAACAAACCGCAATTGAAAAACCATTGGAACAGAATTATACCAATTACTGAACAAATGAAAGCAAATTACTTCTTACAAATTAAAGGGTAAACAGCTACAATTGCATCAAGAGAATTCTTGAAATTCATCATGGTTGCTCAACTATAAGGCTTATATATATATCTCACAGTAACAGGATGTACCTTGCTACTAACAAAAAGCAATTCTTCCCCATGTTCATTCTTCCAGGATGTGACATGAGCTCCATACAAGTATACCTGGTCATAAAACCACTCTAATCAACAAGCTTTGTTCTTGAAGATTAGAGAAAACAGCACATAAAGAATGCACTTGAGACCAATGTAAGTGGGGGCATTTACGATTCCTTTAGTGATGAAATAAAAACAATATTCTAGCTCAGTTCTGCCAAAATTTCTTGTCTTTTCGATACACCCAGTAACAGCAACTATCAAATCTAAAAAAATAACGAAAAAGAAACAAAATTGAATTCATAATCAGCCATAAAATTTAGCCTATTGAAATGGGTTCAGATCTAATATCCTGAATGAAGCACCATTGGCATTTCAAACCGTACAAAACCAATCAATGTCCAAAAAAGATAAAAGAAATGACACGAGATTTGAAAAGAAATGAAGAAAAGGGCAATTGGGTTTCATTAATTACACCAAATCAAGAGACGGATAAAAAGAGAAAATATACCTCAGCAGAGCAGCCACGAACCTCACGCAAGATGATCTTGTCAAGGCCATTTATACCCCGACATAGCTCCACGTACTTGGTATCTACAGACATTCCTCGTCTCCCACGCACAGACATGAACACACAGACACCTCCGTTGTCTACAGAATGGTAAAATTCTTTTGAATCTGTTAAGGATCGAGAAGAAACTGGAGGAGTTGTCGGATGGGGACGGAAAGGACAGAAGACAGAAAGCGACAGAAATACCTTTTGGGATCAATTCATTTTTTTCTCCTTCTTCTTACATTAAATAAAGCAGTCCATCACTAGTCTTTTTATCCTTTAACCTTCGTATAAATGCTGTTTCGGTGGTAATTGATAAAATAAAACAGGGAGTTTTTTTATTTATTAATCTTAAACAGGAGGTTTTTTTAAAGCAGATTATTAAATATTTAATAAATACTTTATTTTATTTTATTATATAGCTTCGAGTTGATGGTAAGTGGACTTATTGTTAAATTATCTTTGACTTTTGCAATCCAAATTTTTAATTTGCTTACTGGGATTGGAGAGAATCTACAATTTTGCAGATTAGTCCTCTTTCTTATATGATAATGCAACTTAGATATTCAAAAAAAAAAAAAAAAAAAAAACAATAATAATAATAACTCGTTAGCAATGATACGGAGGCTACTTATTTATTTATAAACTTTTATTTAGGAAATATTAATGAACATTTTGCCCACTTCATTTAGAATAGATTGAGGTATCAATATTTCATTTAATGCAAACTTGCTCAATTCACAACTTTTATTATCCTTACAAATAGCAAAAAGTAAAAATATATCAAAATAAACAACGTCGAACCGTATGGATGAATAATCAAACATGTGAGAATGAATAGTTTATAAATAATACCATGAACAAATAAAGATTCTCAATTTTTTAGTTTACTTAGAATAATATTTAGATAAAGATCCTCATTTTTTCAGAGTTACTTAGAATAATATTTAACTCCGTATTTAAGGTCGAACTTTAAAAATTTCACCTACCCATTCTAGATTTGATAAACCACTTAATTAAATATACTTAATTATTTTATTTATGTAAATGATGTATTTACTGCATAAATTATTACTTAAAAAAAAAAACACCTTAAAAGATAATATTTAATTGATGCCTTTTTAGCTTAAAATCACTTTTATAAAAACATCCTGCATTGCATTATGAAACAGATCTTAAGTGTGATACTCATTAGATGTATAGGTTATATGTTGAGTTTTTGAGTTTTTATTTTTTTATGCGTGGGAAATGAGGGGAAAACTGCAAATTCCTTTTAATGAAAAAACAAGGAGGGAGTGTTAACGTTTGTCAATATTTTTTACATGACCCGTCTCACTTAAATATATGATAGTAACAAGTTTAACTGAATATTTTCTTGGTTGATAGATTAATTAATGCAAAATGAACTTATAGTGTCCAAATGAACCTTTTTTTTTTTTTTTTTTTTGCACAAATCATACGAGACAGCAATAGGTGGATTTTTTTTTTTTTTTTTTTTTTTTTGTGTGGAAAAGAATGCATCACCTAGTCTTTGAGTTTGTCATTATTCTTCTCAAAATCTTCTTCTTTAACTAATATGACAAATTGGTCTATAAATGCAACCTTTGAAAAATAGAAGGACCTACTTGTAAACTTGGACCGTAAGTTATCCCTAAAAATCACTAAAATTACAAATATGTCACTATGAACAATGCCAATAAGTGTGGGTAAATAATGAAATGTGTGAGAATAAATAATCTAAAATTCTTTTTTGAATCTGTTAAGGATCGATAAGAAACTGGAGGAGTTGTCGGATGGGAACGAAAAGGATAGAAGACAAAAAGCGATAGAAATACTTTATGAGATCAATTCATCTTTTTCTAAGACTAGTCTACCGCTAGTCTTTTTAATTTTTAACCTTTGTATAAATGTTGTTTCGGTGGTAATTCTTGAAATAAAATTGGGAGTTTATTTATTTATTAATTTTAAACAGGGAGGTTTTTTTAAGTAGATTGTTAAATATTTAATAAATACTTTATTTTATTTTATTCTATAGCTTAGAGTTGATGGTTAGTGGATTTATTGTTGAATTATCTTGGACTTTTGCAATCCAAATTTTTAATTTGCTTACTGGGATTGATGAGAATCTACAATTTTCCAGATTAGTCCTCTTTTTTATATGATAATCAACTTAGATATTCAAAAAAAAAAAAATTAACTCGTTAGCAATGATACATAAGCTACTTATTTATTTATAAACTTTTATTCAGGAAAGATTAATGAACATTTTGCCCACTTCATTTAGAATAGTTTGAGGTATCAATATTTCATTTAATGCACTAATGCACTAATATTTCCCAATCATATTGATTGACAAATTAGAAATTTTCCATATTTGTACACGTAATGAGATGGCTTTATTTTTTAAAAAAATTCTAATTATTAGCATTATATTTCCATCTAATATAATTCAAAGAGAAAAATACTTGTAGAAAAGCAGAAGCACCCACTAATTAAGTACTATATTGATTATTTAAAGATCCATTACATATTTGATTACGCAAGGAAGATAATATATATATATATATATATATATATATATATATATATATATATATATATATATATTCTCCTTTTTAACAAGTCCTTATGCAGGACATATTATTTATTTATATATTTTAGAATATCTCTCCAAGGAAGAAGCAGTAGAATGACGGACGATTCCAGCAGAAGAAGCATCGATCACATCTTGCTTTCCTTGTATGCGTCTTTGAATTGTTTCCACTTCTGGTCCAAAGTGCCAAGGTATCCAATAGAAAACCTTATCAGCCCTGGTGTAATTCCAAGACGTTTCATTGTTTCAGGATCCATTTCACTACTGGTGCTGCTACCAGAGGCAGACATGAGGTTCTCATAATAGCCCAAGCTAACTGCAACGAACCCAAAGTGGTAACGGTTTTGCAATTTGTCCAACAAAACATTGGCCTTTTCAGCAGTTTTCATGTCGATGCAAAGAATCCCACCATACCCATAACCTTTGTTGCGCATGGAGTCCAAGAGTTTGTGCTGGGGGTGATCTTCAAGACCTGGATATATGACGGTGAGAGAAGGGTCCAACTTCTTAATTCTCAGGGCTAACTTCATGGCTCGGTTGCACTGTTTCTTCACTCTCAGGCCTAAGTGAGGAAGTCTTGCTGATAATTCAAAGGCTTCCCTAGGATTCATTGTGGGGCCAAGGATCATCACGGGCCCCAGGGAAAGGCCCATTAATTCTTTCATTAGGGCTTTAGGTCCACAAATAGCTCCTGGAATTAATGCCATTGATTTACAATTAGCAAAAATATAGTACTTTTTTTTTTCCTATCATAATTAAGCAGTACATATTTTTCAACAATCGAGGAATTATAATGTACGTTAAAGGAAAATAATTACTGAAACTTCTTACAGCAGATACCTGCAATGAGATCAGCTCCACCACTGAAATACTTTGTCAAACTATGCACAACCACATCAGCTCCAAGTTTTGCTGGGGAGAGGATCATTGGGGCAAAAGTGTTGTCCACCACCACCTTGACTCCTTTTTCATGCGCTATTTCGCTGAGTTTACTGATGTCAGCAACAACAAGAGTTGGGTTCGAGATAGATTCAAAGTAAAGCACATTGGTCTCTCCTTCGACTATTGCATCTTTCACCTTGTCTAGATCAGTAATGTCCACGAACTTTGTCGTTATGTTGCATTTCTCTGGTAGGAAATGTTTCAGCAGAGCATAAGTCCCACCGTATAGAGTCTCAGCCGCCACCACATGCCCTCCATTTTTGCATAGCTGCAGCAACACGGATGATATTGCCGCCATACCTGTCCAAAGCAAATAAATATTTATGGTTTAACTATTTTGGTATATCTGAAAGAGTTTTGATTACATAATAATATTGGTACATTTGGAAGAATTGAAGTTTACGTAATCGTAAACAAAGTACATCAGAAACAGCTCATTTGTTGTAGCCCAAACTGCGTTATCTAGTCACTGAGCTCTAGCTTAGCTACCACCAATTCTTCTTTTCTTCTAAAACGTTTGGAATTCAAACCTCATTTTGTTAGTAAGAAGGAAAAAAAAACGCCAAGAAGAAATAGCGCACTGTCTACAAATCTTTGATTAGTTTGGGGAAACCATCTTACTGCAAAATTAAAGAAAAAAGAAAGCTTAAATTTTATAGGTTATAGGCAGAGAAAAACCGTATGATATAATTATACCGCTAGAAGTGCAGTAGGCAGCTTCAGTTCCTTCAATGGCAGCCAGCTGATAGCTAAAATTGAATACAGTTGGGTTGTAGTGGCGGCTGTAGATATAATAGCCTGTTTCAGGACCAATCATGCCTTCAAATGCTGGGCCCATGTTCTCAGGGTCCTTGAAGACGAAAGTGTCAGAGACCTCAATGGACATGTTCACACCATTATGTTCGCCAAGCTTGTGCCTTACAGCAGCCAACCTTTCAGCTGGAAGGTCCAGCTTGGGCTCCAGAGTGTCTAAACGTTCTTCATTTTCAATGCCCATTGTTCTAAACTTCTAAAGAGAGCAGGAGAGTGGGTGAATGAGAATTCTGAGAGATGTTCTTTGGTTAAGTGAGGATTCAGGAGAAACTTAGTGGCTATTTATAGAGGAGGTGAATGAGAATAGTAGGATCAAATAATTTCTCCTATTTTTTTTTCCCAAGATAGAATCCTGCCCTTCACATTGAGTAGTTAGACCTGCTTACGAGTGCTGAAAGAAATTTATTAACACCAGCCCAGAGGCCTTTAGATTAATAGCCACGACTCGTTAAAAAAAAAAACAAAGAAATGGAGCTGGCTCCAAGTGCATAGAACCATGTATTGAAAATCAGCTAAAAAAAAAACCCATTATTTTTTTATGAAAGGTTCCTGAAATACTCTATTTTATTAGTATTTTATTTTTTTCATATATGTGGTGCATCTCATTGATTTTTGAACAGTATATAATTACCAAAAAAAAAAAAAGAGTTGGCCACCATGTACGAGACGTTTATATAGAATCCTATTAGAAAATAAAGAGTTTCAATCCTTCGTACAAGTGGAGTTTCTATATGACGATTTCTTTTTGTTAATCATGAAGGAGTACAATATGACTATCGATGTGTTCTGACTATCCCTAACAACTTTTTTTTTTTTATCTCTAGATTATCCTAAATTTAAAATTTTAGAATAATTTCTCATCACTGAATCGAACACACAAAATAAATATAATTATTTTAAAAAATTTATATATAAACAAATATTCGAATTTGAAACTTCTTGTTTGTGCCAATTCTAACAAAAATGAAATAGCCTCAAAAATTTACAAGTCATTATCAAATGTGGGCAAAAGTTCATCTATGGGTTATATTAAGAAGGATATTGATTCTGAAAACAAAAATGATATTCATAATAAAATTAAATAAAAAGGGAATAACAACTTTTTTTTAATCTCTAGACTATCCTAAATTTAAAAATTTAGATTAATTTCTCGCCACTCGATTGGACACACAAAATAAATATAATTATTTTAAAAAATTGATATATATATATATATTCAAACTTGAAACTTCTTGCTTGTGCCACTTCTATAGCCTGAAAAAATTACAAGTCATTGTCAAATGTGGGCAAAAGTTCATCTATGAGTTATATTAAGAAGGATATTGATTCTGAAAAAAAAAAAAAAAGATATTCGTAAAAAATTAAATAAAAAGGGAATAATAAGAAACGTTTAGATCAAATTAATTCTAAAAAGATAATCCAAGAAGACATCCATATAACAGTATGAACAATATTGATGGGCTACAGAAACACCCAATTTCATACTACAAAACACTTAATCAAATAATTGCATCCTAGAACTTAAGACCATATTCTAAAACTTCCTAGCATATACCTAACTACACACACCATTCACACTCACGATTGTTGCTAGTAATGAATCACCCCTTTTATAAAAGACATTAGCTAAATCACGTATTGCATGATGAGTATATGTGCCAATTATTTATGATTGCAATTAAATTTTTTTAAAAATTGAAAATTGTCATAATTATTTTATTTTTCTATGTGATTAATTATAGGAATATTGAGCTAGGATTGACTTATTGATTGCATTTTTTGAAAAACACATGGAGTTTGTGTTTAATTTTTTTTTTTTTTGGGAAATAAAGACATAAGAGAGAGAATCTAATGTCTTTTGTTTTTTTTTTTTTTTCAAAGAAAACTATGCAAAATGCTCTTTACCACTCCGGAAGAAAAAAAAAAAAAAAAAAGAATTCAAGACTTGTCTATTAGAAATAGAAATAAAAAATCACCAGAAGGTCGGTTCAAGTGTATTAAATATTGTTCGACAAATCACATGAATGCCATAACTTACCCCATTGGATGCTTTTTTTTTTTTTTAAACCATTTTAGTTATACCTACCATACAAAAATTCAGGATCCAGTTGTCGCTGGGTAACATTACTTTGTTACATAATTTTATAACATGTTTTACATTCTTTTGCTCACTTGTTACATCATTTACGAGAAATAAAATAATTAAATGACTCATCTAAAAATACATATTTAATAAAATATTAATTATACCAGAATTGAAAGGTGAAAAAATTGGAGTTTGAGGGCGAATAGAATATTCTCTTCTTTTTTTCCTGTTTCTTCTCCACGTTTAAAGAGAAACGTGATGGTAATAGAGTATGGATATCGTGATGCGATCTTTGAAAAATCTATGCTAAACTTTTATTATTCTTAAAAATAAAAAAATAAAAAATAAAAATACAATCGTATCTGGAGAAATAATAAAATATAAATTATAAATACTAATTTACTTTATGAATTTAATAGTGTCTTTAATTAAATATATTTTTTAAGATGAGTCATTTAAGTATTTTATTCTGTGTATCTGATGTAATAATTGGATAAGAGAGTGAGAAAACATGTGATAAAATGATGTAACAAAAGGATGTTAAACTACGAGTACTAGGATCCTCGATGTTTGTATATTGGGTCGGTATAACTAACAATATTGTTAAAAAAAATAAAAAGAAAGAAAAGAAAAGAAAGGAACATTCCGGATGTTCTCACGTTTGCATATTCGGTAGGTATAACAAAACAAGCGTGTATCATTTATGTCACTGTCAAACAATATTTGAACCTACTTTTTGCTTCTTTTGTTTTTTATTTCTGATTAACATCTGAGAAAGTTATATAAAATTATTTATAATATCTTATATAATAATTTAAATTTTTAAATTGAGATTGTTATTTGATACAATATCAGAACCTTAATGATTAAGAAAGTGTTTGATAACCTATTTAAATATCTTAAAAAATTAAGTTGTAGTACTTAATATAAAAAATTTGTTTGATAACATAAATAATCTCATATTAAAAATTTAAGTTTAGTCAAAATCTACTTAATTAGACAAGTTAAAGTTTTTAATTTATTGTTTTTTGATTAACACGTTCAGTTGAAAGATTTTTAAAACTTTTTTAATATGTCTATATTGTTTTTATATATTCTTATAACTTTAGATATTCAAACCAACTCAAAAACAATCTCTACTATCCTCATTGCTAAAACAAAAGAAACTTTCTCCATTATTGGTGCTACCATCCGGAAATCTGAAACACCAAGATCTAATCCCATTATAAGTGATTTTCCTTCCATTCTATTACAAGTGATTTTCCTTCATATCTATCGATATCTTGATCAATTTTTTTCTACATTTTTTTTGGAGAAAGACTCGATTATTTTTATAGATTAAGTTGTTTTAGTTTTTGTGCAAATGAAATGATTTGTAGTTAAGATTTCATTTATTTTGTACATGATATATCAATTAATGTTATCTTAGACCGTATTTAATTTTTTTATTAATAATTATTTTTATTGAATATTTATTTATTTGTACACACAAATACATCTATGTATATATTTTTATTTGTGTTAAAAAAAAATCATGTTACAATTACAAGGTTGAAATTATTATGTATATAGCCTTACTATGTTCATCATCGGTACTTATCAAACAAGCTTATTATATTTAACACTTAATTTTCAATAAATACCAAACAGACTTATCGGGAACATATTCGGTACTTAATTATTCAGCATTTAAAATTTAGTACGTAACAGATTTAATACTTAATTTTCAGTTTTATCAAACACCTTATAAGTGAGAACAAATTCAAATCTCATCATTTTTATCTTTCTTCTAATTAATTAATTACTAAGTGATCACGAGTACAAAAAGCTTTCACTTGATGAGGTGTGCTATAGAATCATATAAAACCATTCTTGAAACCTAATCACGAGTTCAAACTGATTTTACTTGAAAAAATGTGTTAGAAAGTTAAACAAAACCATTCTTGAAATCTTACCTAATGGTTTAAATTTTTGGATTGAAATGGTCTTTTGATGTATTTTTTCAAATTTTTTCTCCTTTTTAGGAGTGGTCGAGAGCTTTTTGACATACTATTATTTGTTTGTTTTTCCAAGAACTCGGATTTTTCCAAGCCTAAAGCCGAGGCCAAGACATGCCTTGCACATACCAAGAGCGTGCTTGGCACGTGCATAGGCGAAGCCTACCCGAGCCGGACGCATATGAGCGTACCGGGCTAATTGGAGCTAGGCTAGTGTTGGGCACTAGGTTGTGGGCGACTTGGCCAACCAAGGCCAATACTAGGCACCAATCAATGGCCAATGTCATGCGTGCCGGACTAATGGTAGTTATTGGCCGATGCTAGCCACTAGCAAGCTAGGACGTGACGACTTATGGGCCCTCAAGGCCCAAAAGCCCATGAACCAAAGTGGGCCCAAGGGTAAAAAATTCTTGAAATTAAAATTTAGAGAACTTTTAATTATTTTATAAAATGACCACAATATAGATTTATAATTATGATTAAAATAAGATGTATTTCATTAGTATGCAATGTATCAATATGATTGAATCATAAGTAAATGATATGGATGAGCTGATCTAGTTTATAAATGTAAAAATAGATGATAAGATATTTGTAATTTTTGGTTAAATAGGGCCTACATATATGTCTTCTCTATCATTCTATTATATTTCTCTTCTCATCTTACTTCCTTTGAATGTAACTTGAGATTTCTTATTTAAATAAATGTAAAAGTAGATGACAAGATATTAGAATAGATGCAAGGAGAATAAGCCAAAACATGAAGACAATCCTAAAGAATTTGTAATAATTTTCACCTAGACATTTAACCCACTAGTCTCTTTATGACTCGAGAGGACTAATAGTAGAGATCTATTACCATTCACCGATCCTTGAGTCATGCATGAGATATAATTTTTATTTTATGATTGATAGTATGCATGATATGATTAATGTGATTGATGACTAGTTTGCATGCTAGGATAAGACCTACTATATTAAATTCTTCAAATTAAATATCGAGACCATATTAAATCCTTCAAATTAAATATCAAGATAATTATCTTTCAATATTATAAGGAGATAACTCTCTTGGTCGTTGTTGGCTTGTTGAGATAACCT